CTGGATGCATATATGTTCAACGCATATTGGTACAAACCTAATACTACCAGAGACTCAGCGGGCTTGTACTCTTGGAGACCAACATTTTCATAACCAGCCTCAGGGGGGTTTATCGAATGTTCTGCCGGGAGGATGTACGAGGCATGATTAAGTAGATGCTCAAGGGACTGAGGATCTGTTTCTGGCACTACCGCTCCGGTTTCGAGGATTCGGACAATCAAATAGGTGAGTTCTTCCTGGGAGAGAGATAATTTGTTCCTACCCAGAAGTGCACGTAAAAGGCCCAACCGGGTCAAAACAAATTTTATTGGATCTCCCGGACCGCTGGCCGTGCCAGCATCGGCTTTGAGAGAATTTATGAGTCCCTCCATGACGGAATAAACCACTTCTTTGGTGATTGTCCGTTCCCCCATTCCTAGGAACGGACGATCTGAACGATAAGAAAAGGGTTCGTCTGATAATACTCCGCACTCTTCCCAAGTGTCATACCGGTCCATTTTCAATGGATCGATTGGTCCTTTAGACCGATGCAGCGCGGCCCAACTTCGTATATTCCACGCTTTTGAACGAGCACGAAACATTTGTAGTATCCAACTGGCCTCTGCTGCATAGCCTCCTTCAACACAGCACCAAAGAATAAATTCAAGCCATATACCAAAACCAAGCGGTCTTGATTTGAATCTTGACGACGGTGCATGGGATGTAGAATCTGACTCGTCGACGGCATTATCTGTCGCCGCAGCTTCCAACGCTACACCGGACACTACACTCATTATAGGATAGGAGAGTAGCTGCATCTCTGGAGGCCGGTTTGGTAGAGTGGGTTCGTAGTTTGAGTCGTATCTGTATACTCCAGAAGGTATCATGTCAAGATGATGCAGTTGGGCAACAACAAGGTGGAAATGTGACATAATTGAAGCGCTCTCCGCCTCGGGTAAATCTGATGTCTCAAGAATGAAGGAACCCAGGCTCTGCCAAATTTCACTCATTGCCTCGGCTCTTCTGTCTGCCTTTCCCGTCTGACGCTGAAGCATTGCCCCTTCAAGGTAGTCTTTGACTGATAAAGCGTCCCTGCCATCGGTATCAACCCGTAATCCACTAAGCGAAGTGGATTTCAGCAGATCACCAGATAATCTATCAAATGAGCCCAAACTGCCCCAATCGATATTTGAAGGTAATTCTCCTGGCCGGGCCAAGGCCCGACTCTCGCTTGCGAAATCCAGGAGTTTATTGACTATGACATGAAAATCCCGCCATCTTCCCAGTTTGAGCCCAAGTATTGTAAGGAGGTCAAACCCTAGCTGTTCTCGGGCTTGATATAAAAGCTCCAAAATCGCTTTACAATCTTCCTGCCAGCTCCTCCGGCCAATCAGTTCTGCCACGGCGAGGCCATTATCCACATTCTGCGGGGGGATGTATATTTCTAAACGTTTTATCCATTCGGATGGATCTTTTCGTAGCCCTGCTGGAGGGATAGGGTATGGCTTGCGCTTGGAAGAGTCCTTCGATCGATGGACATAGCTGCGCCAGGTACTGAGAGATGGAGACTGAATTATTCCCAATGAGAGTCGGTACGGCGTTAACAGCGGATAGAACACATGTCCCCGGGCTTGGAAACGGCTGTGGCCCAGGAGTATCCTTCGAGGCAGGCAAATGCTCATGACACGGCCGGGGATCGATCATGGAGGACCTTGAGGTACTGATAAAATAGCGAGTTCGAGGTTGCGTGGCGGTCGCATGTCTGGTCTGGGATATAATAACTTAATGCCCACAGATTTGACGCCCTGCAAGCATACTGAAAAATGGGTTGACCAATTCTCTTGCGGCACTGGGCGGCGTTGTAGTTGTGTTCTCCGTAGCTCGAGCTGCTACAAAATTCTTGGAGAAAAAAGTTGGTAGAAAAATATCGCTTAGTCATCATTTACAAGATATCCGAGTCTGCAAAGGGGACACGGGCAATCAATGTGCTATTGATATATAGGTTAAATTCTTCAAATGCAGGACGATGCTCCTAAAGTATATACAGAAAATAAACACCGGGCAGAACTCCGTCGGTAAGTCCTAACTATAGACAATAGACTTAATCCCAAGGATGCCCTGAAAAAAGGTACCCGGCGCCAATAGAATGCTCCAAACCGACATCAATCATGAAACAGAAATCTAGCTGATCCAGCTAAAATCATTCGATTCATCCTGGGGGGGCATCTTCCTGGCCTTCCTCGCCGAGATCTTCCGCACCCAGTTCTTGTTCAACCTCATCTGCAACGAAGCTTTCATAATCTTCCAGCCCCTTCTGCACATGGACTTTAAACTTGATAACATCATTCAACATGCTTTCAATTCCAGTATGAAGCTCCTCGCGAAGTGCATTTGCGCGCAAAACAAGCTGTTCATGCTCAATGTTGGTATTCATTTCCCTCTGTTCCATCAGCTGAACACTTTCGCTTAGACTTGCACGCATTTTAGCCAGCTCCTTTTCCATCTTTTCAATTTGAGCGTCAGATGCTAACTTCTGAGTTGATGTTATTTCCTTTGTCCTCTCAAACTCCTCTTCTGCAGCACGACGTCGATGTTCTAGGGCCTCCACCTCGCTCTTTTTCTCGTCCATAGCCTCTTTAATGTTTTCAAGGAGGTCTCTCCTGTTCATATCTTCGTCTAGTGCAATCTTTCTTCGCTCATTGATTTCTTTGCGAAGGGAAATAAGATGATTTCGAATCACACCACGAAGGTCGAGGTTGATAAGATTTGTTGGGTGATATCCCGTATTCGCATCAGCAAGTAATCGGTCACCTTCGGAGACAGCGTGGCTTTGAGACATCGCAAGTTGATCATTGATATTAAGGAAAAGTTCAAACTCGACTCCTTTGGCGTTAGCAGTGGTAGAAGGAATAAGGCCCGCTTGGTAGGCAAGGGAGTTGTATGATTTAGTAACCTGCTCCAATTCTTCAAGCTTCATGTTGGCTTCTGATTCCTTCTCCATGACTTTTGCATGAGTCTCATCGAGCCTCACCAAGGTATCCTCCACACTTCTCTGGAGTCTATCTCGCTCTGTACTCATGCGATCAATATCCTGGATTGTAATTCCTCGCTTATCGACACTTGACTGCAGATTTATTCGGTCATCTTCAGTGGTTTGGAGCTCCAGATCGATTTTCTCCAGCTCCTCCTCCAAGAATTTGATGCGGTTTTCATATTTATCAATTTTCCCTTGAACATTCTCATTGTAGTCTTCAAACTTCTTCTTGTCATCTTCCAAAATTTTGAAGTGTTTATCCAACTTGGCAATATCAGGGGCATTCTTTTCAAGTTCTTCGAGCTGATCTCGGAGTAAACGATTTTCCTCTTCTAGTGCCTGGAGTTCTTGCACATACTTCTCATTTGCCTTCTCGAATTCTGCTGCCATGGTTTCAACGTGAGGGACGAGCCGCTGTTCTGCTACCTCGTCATCCTCATCCTCACCACCTTGTAACCAGTCATGATATGCACCGGATAGAAAGCGGAAAATTATACGATCGCCAGTCACGTCAACACCTGCCTCTGCGCAGGCATAGTCATACTGATCCTGGTAATATCGGTCTAGCATTTGGGCTAATTGCATCATCCAGTGCAACACACCCAGGAATGTATACCAGTTGGTGCCTCCAACTGCTGCAATTTGAGATTTTGTAATATTCTTTTCATAGGGGTAGCGCAGCTGCTTTAAAATAGGCGGAACCTCGGTGTCAATGTTCTTTTGGAAGCGATAGCTTGGGTCGATCCTCTTATACAGCCATTGGAATATGTAGTTAAAGTCCTTCTGGGTCGGTGACTTCAACGTATTCTGCGTTAAAGAATGTTTCATTTCCAGTTCAAAGTTGTTGCGCGTTAAATATTCCAATATCTCCTGGCTAATGCGCGCCTGAAAACTCCTGTCCCTCAGGGGTCGAGGATCTCGAGGCACACCCGCTGGGATAGACCCCTGAACAAAGAATGATTGGTGAGCAGCAGAAGGGCCCATTGATGGACGCGATAAGACGCTGCTTCGTCGTTGTAGTTGAGGCGGCGGGGGAGGCGCCATGGACATTGGCGCATAGCTTTGACGGCCAGCATTTGCGCTGTGGAGGACATTATGGGACACGGAACGCCGAACGCTCGATAGGCCGCCGTCTATACCATAGTTATTACTGCTCGTGGACTGGCGGTGGAAAACAGGCTGCTGCGGCCGGCTCAGCGATGAGACGAGAGAGGAGGATCTGGCATGTTGAGATGTAAACGGTGGATTCTGTAGATTTGCGGCAGTGCTAGTTCGCTTGAGCGCAGAGGATGGCTGAGGAATTGAAGTATAGTTCTGGACATTCCCCAGTGTCTATAATATCCAGATTAGTTAAAAGGTCATCCTGCAAAGGTCCATTGAAGGGAAGAGGGGGGGGGGGTAATACCTCTCGCGGCCTTCGGACACTGAAAAGCCCAGTATCCTGCGCCATGACGATGCGGCAAGGGCTTGTTACTTGTGCCAAGCAGCAGCTGGAGATATGGCAAAGCGTAGCAGAGCAGAGACAGCGGCGACAACAAATGCCAGGCCCTTCTCGCGGCAGATATCTGTTTGGCGTTTATGTCTCCTTCAAATAACAACAACATCGATAACAACCACGGCCGTCAATATCAATCAACCCTGCATGTCCGCTTTGGGAAAAGTAAACAAAATCAAAGTGTACGGAGTCCACGCTAGTCTGCATTTGGTATAGACTGGAACCTCGGCGCCGGAGTATCAAATCACCGATAATCACGGGACCGCGTCCTTTGAACCTCGGCTCGACAGGCGAAAAGCAAGCTTTTGGTAGAAAAGAAAGAGCGACATCTCGAGATTCCGGGGAAGAGAAAAAGACAAGCAGCGCAGACGAGGAGAGGAAGCACGCCCTGCTGTTGTCCCCTCCCATATCTGCGTTTCCCAGGGGCTCTTCTCATGCTGCTGATAACCACCGCTGGATAGAGAAAGATACTGAACTTGTTACTTTGGCGACATGGCTCGAGAGGAGCTGATCACGTCGGCGGTAAGTCGGCTGTCGCATGTCCCTGATGCAAAGCATCTCCAGCTAACGACATCTATTGTGTGCTAGGTTACTTGTATGTCAGCCACCGGTCTATCCTGTTGATTGCATACCTGCATGCCTTGTACTTATCTATATCTACAGTCCTCCAGGATCCCTCTGTGTCGTCCGCGCCTCTGGAGAAGAAAGTTGCATTCCTGCAGTCCAAAAACCTGACACAGGAAGAGATTGATATAGCCCTAACTAGAAGCGGCTCTTCTAGTCCATCTACACCTGCGTCAGAGCAACAGGGCCGTGCAGTTGTCCCGTCACCGCCGCCATACCGGGCTCCCCCAAACCAGAGCTATGGATACGGACAGGCTGGTCAATGGGGTTACCCAACTCCTCCAGAGTAAGTAGCCCGATATATATTTACTTGTAAACGTACAGCTAATATGATTCCGTATGTTAAGTCTCCCAAGGCGTGATTGGAGGGATTGGTTTATCATGGCGACGGTAATGGGTGGTGTTGGTTATGGTCTTTATTTTGTTGCAAAGGTACGTTGGTCAGCTATACTAGATCTGCAATAGTCCGCCCTAACTGTTCTGTTAGCGTTATATTTCACCCTTAATCGCGCCTCCCACCGCACCACAGCTTCAACAAGACAAGGAAAGTGTGGATGAGCAATTTTCTCGTGCATTTTCTCTCCTAGACCAACTTTCCGCAGATACCGCTGCCCTCAAGGCTGCTGAAGAAGCCCGAACGTCTCGACTTGATACTGCGCTCCGTGACGTAGAGGAAGTCGTTCAAGAACTCAAAGTTTCGTCCCGGAGACGTGACGATGAAACTAGGCGCATTAGTGAAGAAGTAAGGAGCTTGAAGGATGGCATTCCAAAAGCCATTGAAGGAGCTCGCGAAGGGAACGAGAAACGGCTAAGGGAGCTCAACTCAGAGCTAAGGAGCTTGAAGGTTCTCCTGACAAATAGACTTGGTTCTGGTGCATCGACTCCAACGCCTAGCGCTGCTACCACAACTGCCGCTACGCGACCAGACGTCAATGGCACTGCTTCTGCCACTCAACAAACCTCGTCACCTGCTACGCCAAGCCCTGCGGCAGCCTCTGTACCAGCCTCAACTCCAGCTCCACGAGAGCGCTCCGGCAGCCCGTTTTCTCAGCTCGGGAAACCAGCAAGCATCCCAGCATGGCAGATGGCTGCTGCTAACAAAGCCAAGAGCACTGCAGCCTCTCCTTCGGTTGAAGATGCAGGTGAAGAGGCCGACAAGGCCGAGAGCAACCAGCAGTCTGCATCTACCGCCAGCTAAAAACTAGTCACCTCCAAACTCCGCATCCTCGCCTGTACCCCACCAATCGAACTTTCTGACTCGCTGTTTATTTGTTGAATATGCGTGTTTCCGCTTACTTTCTTTGGGAATCCTTTGGGAATAATTGCAGTCTTTTGCTCTTGCAATGGTAGGAGAATGTTTAATGGGATATATATACCTTGACACCACGTTATTTCTCTTATGTACTTTTACCTCATTCTAGTCAAACCTATACCAAGCTTATACAGGGTAATTCAAGTGTGTCAAGATCTAATAGAAGAGTATTCGATGGTAATCACTCAGGGAGAAGGGGGAAGCCATGTATATGGACTGCATCGAGGCCACATGGCAGACTAACCATAAGTAGTTTAGTCCTTCCCCAGCCTTAAACTTTGAAGAAGCTTAAATTTATCCATATATCAAGATGAACATCTCGCGATTCGAGCAGTCTAACACCTTAAACCTGGGACAGAGCTGCATTTATCCGGGAAGACAGCGTGCAGTTGGGGATTTCCATATCAATATTATTAGTATTACTACTGGCCGTCCAGAACGCTTTAATGTCAAACCGCGAAACTTCCATTTCCCCTCCTCCCGATCGCCATCGCCATCGCCGTCGGCACCGTGACTATGATCGCAACAATCACTCACCCTCCATAAGGGCGGACACTCGATCACGCTCGCCCATCAGAGAGAATAGTTACGATGGCGGTCGGAGATATCGCCGCAGCAGGCAAGAGGGCATCAGGTCTCACCGACGGCAGCGGTCATCTGAAGGCCCAGCGGCGGTCCTACCGCTAGGTGCGGCACCTCTTTCGAAGCGCGATCTATCACGGTACAAAGCGATGTTTGGAACATATCTGGATATCCAAAAAGGCATCTTCATGGAAGACCTTGACGATCGTGAACTGAAAGGGAGATGGAAGAGCTTTGTTGGGAAATGGTAAGGAAAAATGCCTAGCAAAAGCTACGCGGTATATCTTTTGATCTCTCTAGTTTCATTTATACCGTCACCTATGAGTTCTAATAACTAACATGACTGAGGAACCGGGGTGAACTTGCAGAAGGATGGTACGACCCGGCAACGCTTAGGAAAGCGCTAGAAGGAGCATATAATCGCGGCTCCCCTGAGACTTCCGTTCACAGCCCTCGTGGGAGAAGAGCGTCTCCTTCATATAAGAATAGTGAGGAGCGTTCTGCTGCTTTCAGTGAACGTCGCTCGCAGGATTTCAACGAGAGAAGTCTCTCGGCTGAACAGGAAGGGCAAAATAAGGATGAGGGAGAGGAAGATGAAGAGGACGAGGAGGAATCTTATGGGCCACAAATACCAACTTCGCAGCGCCAAATGTCCAGCTACAGGTCCGGACCGAAAATTCCAACTCTAGCAGATCTAACCATCAAACGAGGTTCGTTAATCTGTGTTTTATCTATATTTTCGGTCACTCTAAAACATTTCATGAATAACTAACGTCTCTACAGAAGATGAACAATTAGATCTCGAAGAATCCCGCAGAGTCAATAAAGCCATCCGCAAACAAGAACTCAATTCTCACAAAGGTGAGCTCCGCAGGATGGAAGACGAGATTGCACCGCGAGCAGAACCGGGGTCCCGAGAACGGCTTTTAGAAAAGAAGCGAGAGAAATCAGCATCAAATCGCCAGTTTGCCGAGGCCCGCCGCGGTGGCTCACCCATTGAAGCGGTTGCAGATGCAGATCTCATGGGAGGAGGGGAAGGCGAGGATGGATTTAAGAAACTGAAAGAAAAGCAGATGCGAAAGAAGAATGAGCGGGAGCTTAGGAAGGAGGAGATTTTAAGAGCCAGGGCTGAAGAAAGAGAAATCCGACTTCGGTCATATCGACGCAAGGAGGATGAGACCATGGACTACCTCCGTGCTATTGCTCAAGAAAGATTTGGGTAGCACTTTAGCTGTTATTTACCGTATCTACTCTTTGTATGCCTTACACAACAGCATTTATAAACCCAGCGCTCATAAGAATTATACTTCAATCTCATTTCCGATAGCGCTAATTTATAAGCCCCCTTTATGACCCTCCAACTCCTGGCCGCAGCAATGAAATATCTTTTGGGCGATATATATACATGGGCATATCTATATCCTCGAGTCCCGCCTAGTTCAAATTATAACACGCATGCCAAAGATAAGACAAAGAAGCCAAAAGGCCTTGACCTGCGCCGATACTCCTTTTCATTTCATTGATTTAGTTGTGGGACAGAAGCCCATTCAGGGCTGAACTCCCGCTTTCTGATAGTTCTCTCTTCCTTTTCGGTTTCTGCGACGACGAGGACGCGTTGGGTTTTTTACTACCGCCTTTTTTGGGCCTGATGTGGCTGTTGTTTTGGTTTCAACAGTTTGCCAGTCACCAGAGTCCTCATCACCATCAATGCTAATGTCCTTTGCTAGATTCGAGGGTTCGCTCTTTGATAATCCCCTGCGAAGTTTGTCCTGTGCATCACACTTTGAAGCATCGAGTCCTTCGGCGGCCGTAGCATCATAGGTTTCATCAAACCCCAGGGAATTGCCCCTTACATTCTCGTTCATAGTGGGATAGAACACCTTAGGTTCATCGTGGCTCAGTCTAGCATCGCCCTTTGAAGTCTGACTAGGATCATTGGTATTCGTGGTGCATTCTGCTGCAAACTTTACTTGAAAGTTTTCCTGGTCTGGTCCAGTTTCGATGTGAAAACTGTCATCCGTTTCTGTTTCGTAAATATCAACAGTCGACTCTGAGAAACCTTTATCTTCTTGATGCAGCCTGTTCGGATCACACTCGCTTAGTGGGAACTGTGACTGGTTCCCTCCTGGTGCTTTGTATGCCTTTGGAACGAATTCAGGTGCATCGGGTTTCCATGACCTTTCTCCGTTCGATGGGTATTGATGGCACGAGCAAGTAGTCTCTGAGAATGGGGTGCCACTATCGGATTCACTGGCTTCTAGGAATCCCTGGCGGAAACACAAGCGGCGGTAGTATCCGTGATTCTGCAGCAGCTCAGTATGGGTTCCCTGTTCAACAATCTCGCCATTATTTATGACAACAATCCGGTCTGCGTTCACAATGGTGGAGAGTCGATGTCTAGAAAGCATGTTAGAGCTGGCAAGGATGAATCCAGCAACGCTAGACGGCAACTTACGCGATCACAAGCGTGGTTCGACCTGCGGTGAGCTTCTTTAGACTCTCTTGAACCACTGCCTCTGTTTCGCTATCGACACTGCTCGTGGCTTCATCTAGGAGAACAATTCTGGGATTCTTCAAGATAGCCTGTGCAATGGCAACACGCTGGAGTTCTCCACCAGATAATCTCATACCTCTTTCGCCTACCAAAGTGTCATATCCGTCTGTCAGGCTCATAAATCTGTCATGGAGCGCAACTGCCTTGCAGGCTTCCATTACCTCCTCATCTGTAGCATCCAACCTCCCGTAGCGTAGGTTGCTCATAATTGAAGCATTGAAAAGTGTTGGATCTTGTGGGACCACACCAATACCCTCCCGGAGTGTTTCTAAAGAAACTCCAGAAACATCCTGACCATCGATCTCCACCTTTCCTTGGGTGGGATCGTAAAATCTAAATATCAACTTAAGTATTGTTGACTTTCCTCCACCAGTCTGTCCAACCAATGCAGTAGTACCACCTGCTTTGGCTTGAAAGTTGATGTTTCGGAGTACTCCTCTCTTTCCATCGTACGAAAAATTGACATCCGTAAATTTTATATTCCCAGTTTCAAATCTTAGAGGTTTTGCATCAGGAGAATTCTGGACAGTGGGCTTTTGGCGTAAAATTGAGAGGAACTCCTCAACATCGACTAAATCACGGGCCATCTCTCCGAATCCATTGGCGATGAATTGCAACGGGCTGGATAGCTGGGCCCAGTAACTCAGTAGCATAACAAAATTTCCAATCGGTTTCTCTCCTGTGGAAACATGATGTGCTGCCATGAAACAAGCAGCGGTAAGTCCGCATATTAGTAGGGCTGATTGGGACGCATTCTCCATATGATCCCAAAATCGAAATTTGAACCTGGCTTTCAGTTGGGCCTGTACCAGGGACAAGTATCGGGATATCTCATAGGGAACTCGACTGAAATAGGAAACAGTGCGCCAGTTCTCCGTCGATTCAAATAGAGCAGTAAATTCTGCTCCCCGAGCCTCGTTCCACTCTCGCCGCTTATCCTTCTGTTTCGCGACGAGTTTGCTAGACGACCATAGGAAGAGAACCATCACTGTCGCAACATCAAGTGCCATATAGCCATCAAAGACGTAGTAAAGCACGCCAACGGCTAACACGAGATCTATGATCATTGGGGCGACCAGAAAGAGAATACTATGTATGACATCTTTAACAGACTGTCCTCGGATAACCGCAGTCCATAGCCGGCCGGAGTGTTTGTTGTCATGGAAGTCACAAGATAATGACATGACATGATTGAACGCTGTTGTACTCAGTTTCAGGTACGAGAAATCGTCAACTGGCATACACATAAACCTTCTCAGCGCAGGTAACCCTCCGCTGGAGTCGAGAAGACGGAGTGCAGCAAATATTAAAATTTGTTCCCAGGGTAAGCGACCACCTAAAGGGAGGTATGTTAATAACAATGGATTATATGAAGAACGAGTTTTCTTTCTTTCTTTGTTTTGTTACCTTGAGATTTGCTGAGGATATCGGTTATCAGCCCTAGTTGAATAGGAATCAAAAGGTTGATTGCCCTCTCAGCTATCAAACAGAGGATCATTCCTCCGAAAAGGAGCTGAAGTCGTGGTCTCCCTGAAGGCCAGAAGAACGGCGCAAGCTCCTATAAACAGTTAGTTTGGTTATGCATAAGAATAATGGTAAGTCGTCCAATTTTACCCGTAAGTCCTTCATCGATGACCAGATGCCTCCTCTTTTCTCATCGTCCGCACTATCATCAGCGTCTATTTTTGGCTTGGAGCCCTTTGGCTTGTCTTTCGATGACTGGTTGTTTGAAATACCCGAGTCACACGACCCATATGCGGACCCGTTAACACGGGCACCAGTGGCACCCGGATCCGCAATGAGCGACTGCTCATGTGCAAGTAAAGGCGAATTTTCCTCATCGAGCTTTGTCTGCTTGCCTGGGAAGACTCGGGGACCAAAGGCAGCACAAATAAGCAGTGAAAGGGTGATGATTCTCAGGGTTTGACATAGAATGCTGATAATGTTTGCTCGAGCATAAATATTTGCAGGGCACAGAAGCAGGGAGATCTCTGACACGAGATATATGATCCACTGGCCGTAAAAAGGGTATGACACCGGCTGTGGTGGTTTGTCCGCGTACAGCAATATTGTTGTGAACCAGAGAAGCCCTGACGACAATTCGGACAGCTACAAGAACAGTAAGTCACCTTTTTGACACTCTCTATGGCTTTGCATGAACCTATGTCGAAAAAAAAGAAAAGAAACCTACAATTTGGCCCTTTGCAAAGGCAGCCCCGTCACCTTCAATGGTGGAAGAGAGATTGTTTACCGCGTCCACGATCTGTTCAGCAGAGACAAACGATGGTAAGCAAATCTGACCATATAACCAGCCATGGATCGACGGCAGCCCGGGAGATAAACTCCTGTCCATAGGTTAAACAGACAGACTTACATAAGTCAGGAAGACGGTCGATATCAAAAACCCGATCACAACATTGGAACGGCGAGACGAGCCGGTACTATTTTTCTCGCTACCAGGAGCAAAGACAATTGTTATGAAATATGCACCGAAGAAGTAGACGGCCGCCAGCAACGGCAGCGTATCTTGCACAAGCTTAGCAAAATACATCCCGTCCAGCGTCGACGCACCGCCGTAGCCCTCCTCCATGATGGTGATGGCCTTCGAAGCCCTGAGCTCTAGTTAGGTGCAGCAGCCAGCGGGTCGAAAAAAAGATAGAACTACTCTTGCTCTTGGCGAGGATGAATCCGAAACGGCCCACCTGGAGGCGTGGGATCATGGATGGGCTTGGGTGAGGGCCGAAATCCCTCCTGGACAAAAGACGGGAGTCTTCTTCTTCTTCTTTTTTTTTTTTTTTTTGGTTTTCTCCCCTTTGCTCAGTCTCGGGGTTATTTTTTTTTCCCTTCTCTCTCTCTCAAGGGCTATTTTTGCTCTTCTCGCAAGCGGTTGCGGCCTGCTGGTTATAGCGGTAAGGCCTAGTTCGGGCTAAGGCGACTAAAGCATGCGGCTAAAAGCATGTGTGCGTGTCTACCTCCAGGATGGTGTACTCCATACGGGGGGGGATGTGAAGGGAAGGGCAGGCAGCAGACAACCCTGGACAACAAAGAGCGGTGATAGAAAGCAAAAGAAAAGAACAAACCCCTGGTGAGGCGAAGGAGAAGAAGAAACGAGGCGGCAACCGGACACGCGCTACAGGGTTGACATCAGAGGTCAGGGGGAGGGAAGAAAAACCAAGCGGACAGGGGGATGTCGACGAGAAGTGCAGGGAGGAAGACGATGGGGAAGAGAAGAAGAAGAAGAAGAAGATATTACATGGAACTCAGTGGTTGATGTTGATGTTGATGTTGCTGAAGTTGTTATGTTGGTTTGCGCGCGGGAAGGAACCAAGTTAATATAGCCGATTTACTTGGTAGGCGCTTCGGGAGGAAGCGAAGGCGTTGTTTTCGTCCCTTAAGAGGTGACCGTCCGAGGAAAGCCTCAGGGATGACCCGAAAGGGAAAAGAAAGATGGAGAAGAAGAAGAAGAGCAGAAAAGGACGGGAAGACGGCGGCTTCCGTTTGTCTCTGCTGTTTGCGACTCAAGCCGGCTTATATTTTATAACTGCATCCCATGAACAAAAATAGATGCGGCTCGGGTGCCTGGGCAGCGACCCAAGCGCTGGGTCTAGCTGAAGTACTTCCTTGGTGAAGTTGCATCTTGATGGAGAAGCTCTCGGAGGCATAATAGCGAGTGACCAGAGAGCCTTGGAGATGGCGATTGAAGGAGAAACAGTAGAGACCCCTGGCTACCTGGGTGGCGGCAGGTACAAGGGGGAGAAGGGAGTAAAGGGTGACCAGTTGCTGCCTGTCCTCGTCTTCGCCTGTGTTCTTCGCCGCAAGCCAGAGTTGTTTGCTCTGTAAATAGTTATCTAGATCGGTGAGATACTCTGTATATCCCACATGAACACGGCAACTCTGGGCCAACACATGCTCCCCTTTCTTCCGGAGCAGCTTGCTTGCACCTAGTAGTGGTGGAGACCTGTCATAGCACAAACGCCAGGCTTGATATTATGCCGATTAACACAAGCTAGCGTGCTCGTCCTCTTCGCGGATCGACTTTTGACTCCATGGTGCAAGAGTTTGAATAGACTGCCGAAGCCGTCAGGCAGAGTTCTAGAGCGGAGCAAAGGCCGAGAGAAGAACAACGCTCCCTCGATGTTTTATCCATTGATAGGCGCCTCGACAGACTGTCCAGCCCTTTGAGACATGTAGGTCGCACCCAATCGGCGATCCCTGAAAAGTTGCTGGGAAGCAAGAAGGGGACTGACTTGCTTGTCTTGTCTCCAGAGTTGCGCGCATCCCCTCCTTCTCAGGGAAGACAGCCGGGCCCCTTGTCCACCAGTGTGATCAAGAGAAAGGAGTGTACTATCCCTGCTCTTCGTTATACTTTTTCTCGTTCTTTTTTGACCATCAATCCATGTCCCATCCTGTAACTAGTTATGGCTTCGTGACCTTTTCGTGTCCATTTTTTGCATTTGTAAAATATTTTATGAAAAACGGGCAGCACTTAAGCTAGCCGTCGGGCGTCGCTTCGTGGAAGGGGAAATCGCCACAGATAAGAACACCCGCATTTGAAGGAGCTGCTGTTGGAGCAGCAAGCATATTATTGATTGAAAGGTAAAAAAAAAAAAAGGAGAGTCAGGTCTTCGGGAGGCTTGTCGTCTCGTATTTAGCTGCAAGCCAGTGTGACACGATAGATTGGCTCATGCTTCGGTGGGAGTAAATTGTGCATCTGTATCAACCCGTGGGGGAGACGAACGACGACGACGATGGGACCAATGCTCGCTCCTCTGCATATTTCTCTGCGTCCGTCTTTTTGCAGTGGCCAATCGGCAGCTCAAGAGCGGGCGTGTTGAAGACGCTGGCAGAGGGCATTTTGAAGGACGAGGCAGCGTGGTTTGAGTGGCCGCAGGCAGGGGAGCATCCCGTTTGGCAGACCTACTTACATTCATACCTGTGGGACGTACGGAGTATGTACTCCGTAGCTATATTCCCCAGCAGCATATAGTTAAAATCTCATACACACAGACGTGTCCGCTCGGGATAGTTGAATCGTCATCGTCATCCAAGGGTCTCCGCCGCAGATCTTCCTAAAAGTTGGATCTTTGGACGAAGAGTAACGCTAGTTGGTCGATTTGCTGGTCGATTTGCAGACTTAAACATTAGCATGTCAACTTAAGAAAGGGATGAGCAGCAAAAATTACCACCCGGGGGATGATTTGGACGGCGGTTGGCTTACGCTTTTTACCACTCTTTCATGTACGGAGTAAACGGTTTCGCCTCCCCTTAAGCTACCAACGCTCAATTCCACCTGGCTGGGACAAAGAGACCGAGAGGAAGCGTGATGGGAGTGGCCTCCACGGTCAGATGCCAGGGAGCTCCAACTCAGTGCCAAAATACTTTTTACAGGGATTGAGATTAAACAGGAGCCTTGCCCAACGTTTCTAGCAATCAACTGACTTGCCAGCAGGGACGGCGGTCCGCTTCTTTTTCTTGCTCTTGCTTTCTTTCGCATATCAATATTATTACTGCACACACGTTTAATAATAACCAATGTCATGATACCCTTGCCTTTATAGGCGACACCAATTCCAAAAGCGATCCAAGCGTTACAGTCGTGTATTTGCCGGGCCAAGCGATGGTATTGGTTGCCGGCGTACGAGGCATGAACAGGCTAAGTTAGTTCATTCGTATGGAACAGCCAACCATAAAATATAGTTCCATCGCACTGGGGCCGGCAAGCCAACAAACACTTCCAGAGTGACACATATTTGTTGGCAACCGGGATACAAATCTGCACAATGCACGATGCGATGTATCTAGGAGAAATAGGAGAGAATCACCTTCCAGGATATGAAGAGAGTTCTCCACAGACACCCAATGACCGTCGAAACGGGGGAGAGCTGCTGACAACAAACGCTCCGACAAACTCATTTGATTCCCAGGTTGAGGTCGGCCACCAATCGGAATCGAGGTTTAGCCTGCTCGTCTGCTGCATTGCCTTTCTCAGCAGTAGGGAAGAAGAAGGGCTTCACTGCAATCTCGACTACTTCTTCAAACAGTTTCCCGATAACCTCGCATTTTAGCTCCTCTCCCGTCTGCCGAAAGTCGGGAAAGGCGTTTAGTTCGAGTAGCCATACGTTGCCTGTTTCATCGACTAGGTAGTCGACCCCAAATATTTCGAATGCGTTAGGTAGCGGTTGGAAATGAACCATCATACCGCGAGCAGCTGCCTCGAATACTTCACCCGTGACCACGCAGATCTGGTCGTATACGCGGTCCTTCCATCCTGTTTCCACCGAAGCACCCTTGTCATCTAGTTTCCAGAAACGCTGAACATTCTCAGGAGCCGCGTCTTGCCCAGTAGAATCGGATTGAAGGCAGGTATTGGTGAGGTGGCGACTAAGATAGCTGAGTTCGTCCTCATCAGTTTCTCCCTTTTCCCACGGAAGAAAATATGATTTATCTGCAAAGAGAGCAAGCATTTCTCGATACACATAGACTTTCAGGGAGCCAACTGCCAAAACATAAACTCGGATATGGAACTTTCGATTTGCAGCTGACGGTAGTAGGAGGGGCCGCAGGACATAGGGCTGTGCAACAAAATGCCGTAATTGAGACGTAACAACCCCAGTGTCTGTTTTGTCATTCAGATCACCATCTGGTTCTTTGCTTATGCTTCCCTCTGAGTCTGTATCCTCGGGTTCCCATTCTTCAAATATCTTTTGAAGAGACATTTTACTGTTGAAGAGACGGATCCCTTGCGCACGATCACTCATGCTCGGTTTCAGTATCCACCACTCCTTTTCACAGTCTTCCTTTTCCTCATTAGCCTCTAGACTCTCACGTAGCTCGTAAGCTTCAAGCAGGGCCTCATCCAGAAACTCCGCATAGTCTAATTCAAAGTCTATTGTAGGTTTAAAATGCTTCTGAAGCACGCTGTCGGGGTATTTTGTGATCCAATTGGCGATAGTATTAGAAAGGAAGTGTTTGCGAATTAACGCCTTCCGGATGATGTAAGAGTTTACCAGTGACGTCGATGGATGCAAGTGAACATGCTCAAAGTCGGACTTTTCATATACCCTGTATTGGAGGACTGGAGAATCAGGGTCAGGTAGCTCGGATATAGAAGATATCATTCTGTAAGGAATGTTCTTGAACTGCTTCTGTATAGCCCCCATTACAAGGGGTTGTACATAGGCGTCTTGACAATCCACAAGGGCATAAAATGTCAGAGTCTCATTCAACCTGTATAAAAGGAATCAATCCAGTTCAGTCAGGACACATCTTTTGTGGAAGTATAGCAATAACAATCAATATATATATAAAAAAAGAAAAGAAACAAATAAAGAAAAAGTCAATGGTATAGTATACCATGAAGATACACGGGTGAGTGGTAAGATTGCAGAGTATACGTGCTATTTCATATCAAGTACCCCAACATTCCAATTCGTCACTCACAGCGTTATTTCACCGGAACAGCCCGGCCAATGCATGAAATTTGCCTTCAACGGAGTGACGCTGTGAAAAGAGAATAGTATCAGTGTTCTGCCATTCTATAATTTCTCATGGCATTGGTAAGACAATCTTCCAAAACAAACGTACCTTGTAAAACCAGACCTGACAGCCCAGCCATCATTTCCCGGCGGGCTGGTCTGCTCACTCTTATAGACATCTCCAAATTTTGGAGCCCATTTAAAGTGTTTGTGTTGGAACCTCGTGGAGGAGGTGCCAGATGTATCTCCATTTAGGGTACTCCCTTCTTCCTTTTGTCTAAGCAGATGTTCCTGCAGGCCGGGATCCTCACCACTTAATTCGGCATCAATTGCTTCGAAACAACTTCCCGACCAACGATTGTCTAAAATGTTCGTATATAGAATCTTCGATTTGCTTATTCCTTGTTCAAGGGGCACGTTGATGCTGTAGAGGTCAACTCCACTGGTCCAGTTCTTGTAAAGGTGCTCTATCAACCGAACCGAGTGATTCGAGGCTTCTGATATAACGACTGGGTCATGATCGCGTGAGCTGAAAGCGAATGATAGAGCAATTGCTTTGTATCCACAAACTGCAGCCTCCATCGCTCCGCCGATGGTACCACTGGAGAGAGAGAAGACTGCAGTGGAATTCCTTCCATAGTTTGGTCCGGAAATCACCAAATCTACCGGTCCGCGGTCTTGAAAGTAGTGGAATAAGCCGATTTGAACGCAGCTTGCGGGCGTCGAGTCAATGAGAATCCATTCGTCTCCCTCGCTGTTTTCTCCTTCTTCACTGCGTGGTAGCGAGTGTATTGTGCCGTCGTCTTGGAAAAGGGTCCCCGGGTGAAAGTACGTCGGTTTGACGGTAGCTCCAACAAGGTGAGCTTTGCCAATCCATGATCTCTGCCTATGTGGTAGAACGACAGATACTACATGGCCGGAGGACTGGAGGGTATGGATAAGAGAATGTATGTACGGCGAGGATTGAGACGAAGGCGGACCGTCGTCGTTAACGACCTTGTTTGGCCAGACGTTAGTTCACCACCACCTACTTGAACAATACCCGGCAAAGAGCACCGAGAACGACTGCATGATAAACTGTGCCGGGAATAACTTACAAGGATGTGCATCTTGCAGGCTGCGAACCGTAGTTAGGAGGCTGGCTGTTGTCGAAAGGTCATTTCTTATTTCAATGATCGAAGTTCGCCCCGCGAAGTACCTGTGGGGGTTTTAACTAGTTAGTGGTTATTTCTCCCATGGCCAAACCTCGCACCACTAATAGTTACCATCACCTGGACATCTTTTATATCTCGTCTTTTTTTACTGGTAGATCCGGGGGCTATATGACTATAAATCAGGGGCGAGTAAGACTATTACAGCTCTTATTAGGTATATTAATTACATCTCCCAGCGGTATGGAACTGATCTTCCCCACGGCCGAGGGAGGGCAACGATCACGGCTAGATCCCGCTCAACTCGCTTCCTTGATCCTCATCTGGCCCGTTATCCTCGTTTGAGCCATATGCTGACGGCTCATCCTCTTCCTCGGCCTTAATATCGGGAGACAGCCTTGCGGCAACACCCTCTTGCTTAGCTGTAGATGGCTCTGAGCTGTCTTTAAACCCATCATCGGAGTCGACATCCTCCTCTTTCTTAACGACCATCCCCTCGTTCCCCGAAGACCGACTTGAAAGTGCAAGCCAGACTCCAGTGGCAACTGATGTAGAAATGAGCCAAAACATAGAACCAAAGGTCAGGAACGAGAGAGTTCTCCAGTTATACATAATCCACCTATGTATTTTGAGGTTAGCAAGAAGTCTCAATATCAAATGGCATCACAAGTATGCCCGTAGAATCGACAGATACAATCCCTGAGCATGCATACCGTAGGCCAGTAAATCTTGCGTCTATTCTCACTCTTGCTTTGTACACTTGAATTCGCTCGTTGCTTTGAATCTCTAGCCTGAGGCCCCTTGGTACTTGTCCTTTTCCTTTGTGGAACTGAACCCGTTCCATCATTCCAATACTAAGCACCTCTGCTTCCCGTTTTAGCCCGAGAATATAGAGTGGAAGTCTCCATAGCTGTCGAGCTGTATCTACCATGGGAGATGTGTAGGTCAGCATGGCCGGGCGGCGTGATCGCAGCAGCACGTTCTCAGATGCATTTGCAATGGATCCAGCTAAATCATCAGGCTCCCTGAGAAAGGCAAGATCAAGCATAAAATTTCCTGCAGCACGATTGGCAGGAGTAGAAGGGAGCTGTAATATCACCTTGACGTCGTACTTTTGAAGTGGAACCATGCGTGACCCCAAAACCGCCGTGCCATATGGAAAGCTCGTACTGTATAGCTCTGTTATTTTGGATTCTAGACACAAAGAACTTCGTCATGGACCAAGCTATCCATCTTCTTGTATCTGACTTACTCATATTGAAGGTGGATTTGCCGTTCAAGGCTAATTTGGGGTACATAGTTGTAGTAAAACACCCAGTATGCTATGGTAGATATGCCAAATAGAGCAAAGGTGGCACAGGTGAAGAGAAATACGCTTATATATGACCGTTGAGCTGACTTCGACGTAGCAGCCTGGATGGGCCGTAGTATAATGGACTGCCTGGAGATCAATAACGGGTATAAGAAACTGGGTATTGTAGGGTATTCGTACCGAGACACCTTGCTCTTGTTGGAAATTCGCCATTGGTTCCAAGTCTTAGTTGGGGGTTTTCCTCATCACAACTTGCCACTGAGCATTGCAAAAATTGGAAAACTAGAAATCTGAACCTGGAAGATCCCTCTGTCTGAAGTCAAGTGTTGCAATTTGCACCTATGTTATGGGATGAGATGATCGTATGTCGATGTTGATGTTTGTTGCTAAAACCAGGGAAGACGAGACAGATCTAGCCCTGTACTACATATCACGTGCAAATATCAATTCAAGATCTAGAACAGCGTAGGAGAAGAATGTCTTTGGACAATCGAATACAGCTCTTGCAAGTGTTTATTATGACCTAGTGTAATACCGATAAAGCTTTGCCCCCAGCGACTAAGGAGAGCCCGTTGTTTATTTCTCTCTTGTTTGTGCATACGAATTTTGTACTGCATGGGTAGAATCAAGAAACGTCAGGTGCACAGAATGAGTATGAAGATCAACAGCTGAATAAATAGTAAACAGAAGCAAAACAAAAAACACCTATTTTTTAAGATTACATAGGACCTTGACGAATAAACAACCCCCAGATCATGCATGCATGCCGTCCAAAAACAAAGTAGCGAACCATGAAACCCATCCGAGCGGTATCTAAAGAAATTTGTAAAAGGGAGAGGAAGGTACATATGCGCATGTGAAGGCTTGAAAAGATTAAGATAAGCGTATGGAGTCGGGGTATGTTTGTTCATCGTCATAGTCGTCATCAAGGTCACGGCCAGTGACTAGTTCCAAGGAAGAATCCGTCGTATGGATTTCGTCTCATATACTTTTTTTTCACTTCAACTATTTGCTAGAAGAGAATTTAACTTAGAGTGCGGGGGCTTTGCTGTTGAATGTGCTGCAGAAGAGCATCGAATAGACGACCAATCTAGAAGACACATGTTAGCATCCTGCCATATGAACCGGGTAGTTATAGGACCTCCATACCTCAGGCGCCGCTTGAATGAAAGGCAAGCGGAAGAACGAGTAATTGCCATTCTGCAACAGCTCTTGGAGTGTAATGATAAGACCCCAAGGGTGAGGTCGATGGACAATCAATCGCTCTAGCAATACACGGATGATCTGCTCGCGAATATGAGTTTCATGCTGAGCCGCAGTCTCTGAGCCGAAGATGTTGAGTATGGCGAAGCTAAAGAAATGGGTGTGGCTGTTCGGATATCGTAGTTGATTTACAATGGCACTGAGGAGGTAATACCGGGCCTCTGGGCGTAGCATGTTCACTAACTTCTCCAGGAACCCAAGAGCGGGGGAGTTGCTGAAAGAAGCTGTGCCAGGCTTCTGAGCTGATGAAGAGACGGCACTCTGACCAATGTACAGAACAAGTGCCTCCAAAAGAACAGTATTAACGTTGATTGGATTAAAGAATAGCCCGGTGTCTCTTGCCGGGGGATTATAAATGATCTCCGATATTTGTTGAATAGCAGCATCAGCAGTGTTGAAGTTCCGTAATGCATTGTCCACCGGTGCCTTGATCATTGCTTCCTGGAGTGGTGTGACGATGTCGGCGGTGATTTTTGGTGCTTTGCTCATTTCCTCCAATCGATCAACCTTCAAGCCGTCACGGAACGGATCAGGCAATTTTTGGAACGACGATGGATAAGCGCTCAACACGAGGTTTCGAAGTTGGCTACAGTGGGTGGGTATAACAGTGCAGAATTGGAAATGATTTTCGGCAACGAACTCCGGGAAATCATGGTGCAAAATCAAAAGAATTCGAAGCACTCCTTTGTAGATGTCCTTGGCCACATAGGTCACAGATGCGGATTTAAGCTGCTCGCCGATATATGACAGCAGCACTTGCATTATTTCACAAAACGGTTCCCAGCCCTATGGATACGATTAGTAAAATCATTTCAAGATGATATGGATAGCGAAAGGTATGTACTCACCACCTGATCATCCAAGGTAAGCATCTCAGCCATAAACACGCGATGAGAAATAAGCGATAGCCATCCGTAGATGAAACCTGGTACGTGTTTAGGCTGGAGTGACAAGAACTTGTCTGCAAAAGCCAGCATCATGCCCTTGTGCTGGTCTGTCTGTGCAAGGCCACTGGCAGCATACTCGCAAAGAATGCTCGAAAAGAGTCTGAAAAATACTCGCTGGTTGAAGCTATCACCTCGCATGACTTGATGGTGATTGAGAACCAAAACCAACAGAGAGAGGATAGAATTTAAGTAGGCCGACTTGCTAGCCTTGACCGCACCGTCAGCATCGCCTTGGAATTTCACCAATAGTATAACCAGCTTGGCGAGAGCGTCGATATACAAGAATGCCTCATCGATGTTTCCACTGACGTTTTGATACTCGTGCTCGAACATGGCAACAGATATATCAATGCTGAGCCTGAAAAACAAGGCCGAGTCTTCCTGTGTGTTCATGACCTGTCTGTGGTGCATATCTTTCAGGAAGGCACTATACATCCTGTCGTTGGATCCGGGGAACTTGTATACGCCAATCCACTCACTGAAGATATACTCCATCTGATCTCTCTTTGATCGAGCCAAGTCGCTCAAAAGAGTGTTGGCTGATTCTGGAATTCCAGACTCTCGAAGGGTCTGGATGATCTCACGAGCAAGGGGAAGATCAGGTTCTTCGACAACCCATTGGTTCAGCGCATCCAGACTCCCAGAAAAGTCAGATCGTAGTGCTGATGGTTCATCATTCAGTAGAACGCGGTTCATCAGTGCAGATAGTAACTCCAATGCGGCGTGGCTCTTGTCCTTGATCAGTTTGGCAATATTCATGTCAATTCGATGAAGATCCATCAATCCAGCGTCGATAAGGGCAACCGTGACTGGGACATTGAACATCTGCCCATCATCAACCTCAGCGAGGACTGCCCATACATATCTTGCCACGAGCGATGAGAGTTCACATATCTTGGTCAACAGATGAACGAGAACTTCTATTTCAAGGGTTTTCTCGGTTTGAGTGTAAAGGGCATTACAGATTTTCATAGCAGCCATTCTTGCCAACTCTTCGCCATTCTGGGATGAGAGAATAGCTCTGAGGACCTGATTATATGCATGGAGGATAGGGCTATCCCTTGCAATGTCCTTGATATGTTCGTCCTTCTCGGATCGAGTGGTGTGCTGAAGCTCAACAACAAGCCCGTCAATCTTCTCGCGTGGAGTAGACGCTTCCAAAAACCCGTTGATCTGTGGTTGGGTGCCAGCAAGCGCCTGTTGTTGAACATCTGCATCCTGTGGACCTCGGCTAGCGGGGTGAGGAATCGCGGATTGGTCCGCAGGGGTGCTTAAGTTAGGCATGCCTGGGAAAGCTTCTTGAAGAACGTCTGGTATTTGTTTACCCGAGTCTGTCGATGCATGCTGGATATGTGTTGGGCCTGCTCCACGCGACTGGCGGGCGAACTCTTCGTATATAGCTAGTTGCTCTTTGTTTAATCCTCCAGGAACCTGTCTGTATGGTTCCGGAATAAACAAAGCCCATCGGCTCATAGAAGGATCAATGAATGCTTCATTGGGTCGCGCGATACGATGGCGCCTACGGGCCTCAAGTTGTGATTCAATAACTTTTTCGATCTCTGGGAGAGACTTTTCCTCAGCTGCCTTTTCAACAATACCGCAAGCAGCATCCAGATTGTCGTTCACGCACATAAGGATAAGACCCTCTGGCATCGGTTGATCCGAATACTCTTGCTGGATCATACGGATATAGTTCGTCATGCTCATTTTCAGGGGTTCCTTGCAAGTAACGAGAGCAAGGCTACCAGCAAGAGCACGAACCATAGTCCCTGCTGCCTGGCGAACTTTTTCCTCATCTGGCTCCATGGCAAAATCCTTCAAAATTAACTGAGCAGCTGAGATGGAGGCGATGGTGATCGAGCGCTCAACGACTGGTGCAATAATTTCGGCAATTGCACGTTCAACAGCACCGTGAACAATTTGTTTTAGAGTGTTGGGATCGGCAGATGGCGGGAAGACAAGAATTTGGTCGAGCTTAGGGAGGTTTGAGATAATGGAAGAAGGAGATATTCGATCGGCTCGGATGCCACGGCTCATGCCAGTGAGTGACATATCATCAAATGCCTCTAATCCTTCCGGGAGGCAAGCGACAGGTAATCCTTCATGGAGCTGAGCTGGGCGTTCTCTAATGCATGTCGACGGTTCGATTGTCTTGTGGTCAAGTTCTAAGTCTCCACAGAGTACTTCGATTTCGAACTTAAGGATCATCTTCAATTCAGCGAAGTGGTAAATTTCAATCAATAGTGCAATGATGTCCATCAACCACGGGTTTGGAGGCTTGAAAATTGACGATTTCATGGCTTGACTCAGGACCTTGCAGGTGAACGGAATGGCGACAGTAAGGCGTTGACTATCAAATGCTTCTATAAGCAGCTCCTTGAAGTAGATATTCTTGTGCTTTATGGGCTTGTCTTTCGCAATTGTCAGAGAGCCTAGCCAGCCACCAAGATTCTTTAGATGAGTGCGGTCAATCGTAGAATTCATTGTCGATTCCGCATTAAGAAGCCTGATAGAGCTGACGTAGGTTTCCCTAAGCACTTCTGCCCATAACGTCTTGTCATCAATAAGTTCCAAAAGGTCTAGGTATAGTTGCTGGAAATTTGGTTGTAGCTTTGCTCGCTCCTCAACGAGATACGAAGCAAACCATTGATGATGCTCATCCTTCAAGCTCTCCCGAAGATCTTGAAGTTTCGACTTGATGTTTTGCTCTGAAACGTTGTTCAGGATGAAAAGGATCTTGTCGTGAGTGTCTTCATCTGGCTCCTTATAGATATCTGGCCGAAGTGGGGGTCCTACGTGTAGAGACTGGAATTTGCGGGGAGATCCTTCGTTGACAAGTTCGTTAACACTGCCGTTAGCGAGGGACAATCCATCAGTTACGCCGTTAGCCTCCGTTCCATCAACACCATTGATCGGATGGTGACCTTGTTCACGAAGGACTTCCTCTGCTTTGCGGTGGATATTAGAACCCTGAAGGCTAGGTATCTGAAGCAGGAGGCTGCAAAACCCAACCCACTCAGGCAACCGGCTTATTAACTGCTCAATGGCTTCAACACCAAATTTATATAGAGACTCGTGAGGTTCGTGTTCGCGTACAGCGTCTAAAATCATCCCAAGACCAACTTTTAAGGGTATCCCAGAAATAAGCTTAAAATTGATAATGCCGCCAAACATGACAGCCGTCTTCGTGAGAGCTTCAAGCGGGTACTCATGATAGCAATGATATTCATCGATGAGACCATGAACCATGCAAGTGAAAAGGTCCTGTTCAGCAGGCTCGCGAGAGGATTTGTACCGTCTCATAAGCTCAAGGATTTCCCGGAGAGAGAGCTCTTCATGGTACATCTTCCCGAAAAGATCGCGCATCTTCTTATCGATGTCCTCAGGAATGGCATTTCCCCGGACACTGTTGGCCTCAATAACATCATCAAACCCCTCACCATAGTTGATTAGTCTGGGGTAAGTTTGAAGGCAGATCCGTTGAATAGGGGTTAGGTTTTCATGGTCAGTGATGTAGTCTTCCAGAATCATCAAGAGAGCGAATACGGTCTTGACGGATAGGCTGACCATTTGCGGAGTTGGTTGTTCCCCTCTCTGCACTCGCAACTCGTCTTCAGCCTTAATTCTGAGAAACTTGGCCAGTAACCCACCCATATCAACTGGCGTTTTTCCAGCGGTCCCCTTCACCCACTGCTCCAGGTCGAAGGAACCTTTCTGGTGGGCAAGGGAAGCAAGATCCATGGCAAGGCCATTGGTAAAATCCAGTAGATAGTCAAGCCAGCCATGCTCAACTGCATGCTCATAGATCAGATCAGTACAAGAAGGATCCTGAGTGAAAGCATGGAACAATTGCTCTCCGACCCATTGTTGGTTGAGTTTCCAAACTCCGTGAAGTGCGAACTGGTATCCATCCTGTCGCTTTAAGATAAATATCATGAATGATCTGACAAGGAAATTATGTTGGACGTTGGTCCAGGGCTGGGGTATGGCAAATGCGGAGCAGAGGAAGGTTGGGAGGTCGTGTTGGAGGATGGTCTTGACAAAGTTTTGACTCTCTGGAAGAGCCCATGTTGCAGGCGAGACAAGTATTAGATCAAAAATTGCTTTTGTGGCATCGAGGGAGCGGAGGGGATTGTTCTTGGTTTGCTCTGCCTGGAGTTTGACAGTTTCAGACGCGTCATCAAATATATCAGAACTAAAGGCAGAACGGAAGTTAGGAATCTGTGATGTATCGATGCCGGGTGTGTCAATTCCAGCACAGAGAAACGCAGTCAAAAAGGAGAATTGAGCGTTTTTATGAGCCCAGTCACCTCCCCAAAGCATCTGAAGATCCAGTGAATTGTCCTCCTGGGCGACAGGAAGCAACGCGTTGAATATTCTTGCAAACTGGGAGTTATCGACACGAAGTCCATCTTTATCAAACTGCCGTACAGCCTCGGGCCAGTTTATCGGCTGAGAAGCGTGTTGCTTTAGGAGAGTTGACACCAAAAGGTCGAGTGGATACTGTTGCCAGGATTGAGAGAGGACAATGAAGAGGATTGCATTGCCAATTTGTTCCCCGCTAAACGCATCTGAACCGGCGGCCTTGATAGTGTCAAGCATGGTATCGGGATCACCCAGGGATTGAGGACCGCGAGCCTGGATTTGACGGACGAGGGACAGTCGAGGATCTGTGAGGGAAAACATCTGTAAAGCCGAATCAACCTCGATTGGGACCTCAGAATCTGCATTTTGGTAGCGTATGCGAACATCATAGATAAGTTTCTTTTTCATATCCTCGTTAAAATTACGGGGGGGGTTAAAGATAAGTCGTTCGATGGTAAGAGCAATAAAGGATGGTGTCGAATCTTTATTAGAGTCTGAGATGGTGGAGAGGCTCTGGAGGAATTGAGGGAGAGATGCTGATAGGATCGCGTCGGCTATAGAGAGTCAGTATGTCGAGAGCACTGAGGCTATTACCGATGATGGATTGGCTTACCTTTAGTACGGAGATCAGACTTTGTGACATTTTTAAAGGCAAGAGTAAGAGCGGTTTTGAGTATGGGATCGAGTTTAAAATGGTCGAGAAAGGTGGAGAGATCAAAGTCTCTGAATATGTCACCTTCAGACGTATCGATAGTCTCTGCTATCTTTCGACCCTGGTCGGGGTCGAGCGCCACCTTCTGCACCTCCTGGACCAACAAAGGGTAATTCCCGGAGTTGTCAACATTTTTGTTGGCTCCAGAAAATATCTGGCCAGCATTGCTTGAGAGCAGACGGCGGAAGTACTTTGAGAACACTTCCATACCGTTGGAGTTTACGAGCTACATAGAAAGTTAGTCGCTAATTGGCCAAATTAAAAAAGATGGGATGAATTATTACAACGGATGGAAAACTAACCCTGTGAATCTGTGCCGCTTTGGTTTCCCACTTCTCTTTCCCTTCTTTCTCGTTGATCGAGTCCAGCAGAAGAAAAACCTGGACTACTGATATCTTCGAGAGTGATGATTGACTGGAGCCAGCGCCACCCGTTGACGACACTGTCGCGGAAGACGGTTTATCGGATGGAAACCCGGTAGGAGAGCCGACTGCAGTACCAGTCAACAGAGGAGAGAACGTGGCGCCTCTTGACACGGCAGTACCACCACCACCGCCTCCTCCACCCCCACCACTACCTCCTCCTCCTGGTGCGGAAGCCGTTGGGGTCGCCAGGTGCGAAACTGCTGAAGGGGGGAGTGGTGTGGTAGATTTTGGAGATGTAATTGAATGTTGTTGTGATTGTTGTTGTGAAGGGTGCTGTGCGCCAGCTTGGAAAGAAGAAGCAAAGGGAGAAGGAGTTGCGGCTGGCGAAGGATTACCACGCGCAGCTGGGAGCCGAGAGCCCGAGCTCAGGATGGCGGAGAATGTAGAGGTCAATGGAGACGTGGCAGGCCCGGGAGCAGGCGTTGGGTTGCTAGTGTGGGACGGAGATGCAACTGCACCTGCGGCGGGTGTCCGGCGAGACGGAGAGGATGTACCGGTTGAAGAAGATAGGTTAGCTGTCGCAAGGGTGAGAGGACGACGAACGGACGCTTGAGACGACGGGACGCCCCAAGCTGACGGCTGGAGTCTCGAAGATCGAGCAGTAGTGGGCTGATCGGAGCCGGAAGCAATCGAGGATTGGGCGGAGTGAGAAGGGGAAGGGAAGGTCATCTAGGAGACGCGATCATTTGATCTGATCGTGATTGGATGCTTGATAGAGAGAAGGGCGAGGCAAAGAAAGGTAGAGGAATAAATAAGTAAATCAATAGCAAAAGGAAGCCCAGTGCAACGGGTTGCTTTGGCGACTGTGGTTTGCTGCAGGGTGACCTCAGACAAGCGAGCCTCTCTCGTAACGGCGGGCGTGTGTTTGATGGAGACTTGGGCGTCAAACAAGAGGTGCAAAGCTCCGGTGCCGCGATCCAGCTGATTGAGGAGGGCAGAACAGACCGTCTGAGCCTCGTTGTTTCTTGCTCGGGAAGAAGTCCTGGTGTCGGCTGTGGGAGTGCTGCGTGCTCTTGGGGGGGGGTTCGTGATGGTGCAGGATGGAGGTTGAAGTTCGAAAGTTGAGGTTGGAGAAAGAAGAAAAAGGCGGACAAGGGAGGCAGAAAAAAAGGCCTGCGGTGGGCGGGACGAGCCACTTGCGCAGAGTGATGATGTAATCTAGCACGTGACATGTTGCCCGGGGCAACCGCCGACGGTAAACACGGCGAGCCCTGGACAAGCTCGAGGCCGCCGGCGCTTCTGCTCTCTTCCTGACCGTCCATGATCCTCACCACCTCCCACCCCATTACCCCCTTTGACATCTATCGCTCACTTCTTGTTACGATTTACGATTTTCTTTTGCTCTTGTTTTCCTTCTACGAACACGAAAAAGAATTATTAACAAAGCCCAAAAAAAAAAAAAAAGGGAAGCTCGAGGATATAGACCTTGGAAACGTCCAAACTTATCTGTGACATATCTATATCTGGAACGATGCCGGCAGCTGTGGCGGATACTCCTTCCATTTCTTTATCATGTAAGTTGACACTTTCCACGGTCACAGCTTTGTTCCTGGAGCTTCGGGCTTCGGCTAACCGTTGTTTTAGTTGCGAATAACTTCTGGGGCAAAGATGACGCTGGCGTCCTGCCTATGCTCGAACGCATGCACAATGCAAAGTCAACATGCGACGAACTACGGTCATTCTATAGCAGTGAGTTGCTGAACTTCAAGAAGAAGTAATTTCGAAAATTGGATGGTTGGTGACTTACCTGGGTTAGCACGCGCCGCTATCGAGGATGAGTATGCTCGGAAGCTCCTGGCGCTCTGCCGCAAGCCCCTTGGAGCACATGAGTCGGGAACGCTCCGGTCCTCACTGGACACTGTCAGAGGGGAGACAGAAGTAATCGGCAAGACACACTCCGCAATTGCATCTCAGATGAAGACCGAACTGGAAGAACCACTTGCCGCATTTGCGGGTGGAATGAAGGAGAGGCGGAAGATTGTGCAGAATGGCATCGAGAAGCTCTTAAAGATTAAGATGCAGCAGACTCATGCTGTGAATAAGGTATGCCCCCATAGGAGACTCCCGTACCAGCCCTACTACTTCACTGCTCAATGCTAACGTATACTAGTCACGGGATAGATATGAACAGGATTGCCTTAGGATTAAAGGATACCTCGCTCAAGGCCATATGGTCATGGGGCAGGAGGAGCGCAAGAACAAGGCGAAGCTTGAGAAGACCCAGATACAGCTGGCTTCAAATAGTAGCGAATATGAAGCGGCGATCAAGGTACTGGAAGAGACTACCGGCCGATGGAATAAAGAGTGGAAAGCAGCATGTGATGTAAGTGACACTACACCTCTTTTTTTTACAAAAAGAGTGAAATTGATAACTGACTATCACCGTTAGAAATTCCAAGATCTCGAGGAAGAAAGACTGGACTTTTCGAAAAGCAGTTTGTGGAATTATGCCAACATAGCATCAACTGCATGCGTTAGTGACGATGCAGTAAGTGATGAGTGAAGTACATCCTACTATACTAGAAACTAACTTACTTTACTCTAGTCTTATGAGAAAATTCGAGTCTCACTAGAAGACTGTGAGGTCGAGAAAGACATTGCTTCTTTTATAAAGGAGAAGTCCACTGGACAGGAGATTCCTGATGCCCCCAAGTATATCAACTTTTGCCGAGGCGACTTAAACGACACAGCTTCTGAGGCCTCGGAGGAGGAAAACTACTCCGTTGCGCAATTCCAGCGCACTATCAACCCAGCATATAGAAGCTCCTCGCCCCAGCCTTCTACGTACGAATCACACCATGACCCCGACTCGGAGCTTGCTCACCACATAATTCCATCTTCTCATCCTGCTCAGTCAAGTCGCGAAAACACAATGACACCCCAAAAGAAGCCCTCTGCTCCGCCTCTAGCTTCTGGATCCCCTGCGTCAGACCCACGAAGGAAGCAGCATGTCCCTCCTAATTACCAGCCAAGCCAGCATGGTGAAATACCAGCTAGTATTCCCCATAACGAGTATCCGGCTGATGGAATGACGATGTTCTGCCGCCCCGGGCCACCATCAGAAAGGAACACTGCTACTCCGTCAATTAGAGATTCTCAAAGTGATCTCTCTAACCCCACATCTTTCTCGAGTATGGAGCCGCCGAGTGGTCATCAATCTCCAATTAAGTACACTCCTGTTGGTACGCCGCCTGCTTCAGCTCCCGTAACAGCTCCTGGACCCGCTCCAGCCAAGGCCCCTGCCCCAGCTCCCGCTCCAGCACCAGCCCCGGCCCCGGCCCCTACTCAGACCCAACAACCCAATACAGCGACATCGACCAAAGAGGTCCAGAAAAAACGAAGTGGTTTCTTTAGCAACAGTCCATTCCGCAGAAAGAGCAAACATGAAAAGGATCGTCGGGCACAGTCTGTTGCTCCTGCACCAACACAGAATCGCAGAACGTGGGCTGCACCGCCTAAACAGACAAGAGCTCTCTTGGGAACTCAGTCTGACTTGGGTCCAAACCATCGGGCCCCCAGCCCGGAGCCTGTTGACCCCCGAGCAAATTTCCAACTGAACGTTGGAAACAACGTGTTTGACGTTGCCTCCCCTGACGCCGCTAAGACTGGCAAGGCCAAACCTGCAAATGGAGATGTTGACCCAATTGCTCAGGCCCTCGCTGACCTGAAGGGTGTTGGAAAGCAGGCATCCATTCGTGTATCTGCAGATAGATACGCAGGACTTGCAAGCCCGGCTCCCCCAGCGTCTACATCTACGCCTGCCCCCGCCCCAGCTCAAGCACAAGCTTCCGCTCCCGCTCCCGCGCCAGCTGCAGCGCCAGCTTCTGCCCCAGCATCTAATAGGCCCTCCACTTCTCATCGTGAAGGCCCTCCTCCGTCGTACAAGGATACGCCCGTTAAGCGCCTAGATGCGCCATCACCCGCTTTCACGGCTGCGCAAATGCACAAAACTACTCGCAAATATGTTGGTCAGACTCAAAGTCTCTTCAGCAAACCAATTCGTACTCGGGAAAGAGCCAATACTGTTGACCAGGTTATCCCAAGGGCTACATCCCCTATTCCTAAGAGGTCCCCGAGCCCTCAACCACAGCAGAATACCACTACACGCCCAGGCTCTCAACTCGGCAATGCCTCTCAGCCAAGAACACCTGCCTATAAGTCTGAGAGCATGAATAGTAGGTATAGACATTCGCACTCACAATCTGCCACCCCTACCAAGATTGTCCGAGAGCCCTCTCGTTCTCCTCAATACTCCCGTCAAGCATCTCCGAACGATGTGAGGCCAGAGGCACGCAATGAGTCTAGAACAGAGACTAGAAATACTCTCCGAACTGAAGTCCGCAATGAACCACCACGTAATGAAGCAAGGCAGGAGACACGGGCTGAGCCACCAAGAAATGAGGTTAGGAATGAAGTACGAACCAAACCGCCCCGACAAGAAGTGAGACAAGATGCACGAACTGAACCACCGAAACAGGATGTTAGACAGGAGGTAAGAAATGAACCACCACGAAACGAGGGGAGACCCAGTACATGCAATGGAGTCCGAAATGATCCACCCCCAAATAATGTTAGACGGTCTGCCTCTCCTCAGCCCCAGTTCAGACGACCAGAACGGCCCGCAAGTGCAAGTGGAATGGAGCTCCAACTGTCGACCGATGATGTAAACCAGCATATGGGAGGCCACAACGACGGTTATCCGCCTTATCAAGGTGAGTACCAAGGAGGATACCAAGGAGGATATCAAGGAGGATATCAGGGAGGGTATCAGGGCGGAAATGCCTATGGCCATCATCAGCAACAATGCCCTCATTCCATGTACTATGGCGCCACTCCCGACTACAGCCATGGGGCCCAGGATCAACATTCAGGAACCAGGAGTGTGATAATGGCGGAAGCTCCAACAATCAGCCGTGATGGCAGGCCAATTCTTCATTTTGGTGAGTTCCGCTCCATATTTACAGCTTCGATAATGAGTCTCTTATCTAACTCTACCTCTAGCTCGTGCAATGTATTCTTATACTGCAGCCATCCCTGAAGAACTCGGGTTTGCCAAAGGAGATATCCTCGCCGTGCTAAGGCATCAAGACGATGGATGGTGGGAGGCTGAAATCACCAACCAGCCAACCCGTCCAGGTCTAGTACCCAGCAATTACCTTCAACCTTGCTAAACTCTACCATTCAATCTTTCTTAATTTCAAATCGCTCGCTTTGCAGCCTTTTTATCCTTGGGTCTTTTGAACTAGTTATACCCAGTCATTTACCGGGGTTGATTGTACAATCTTGATATTTTCCCGGTCAATATGAGGACTCCATGCCCGTTCTCAATTTTTCTTTTCTGGTTTCTTTGATTTTTTTTTGTCCCTCGTACTCACTTATTTACCCTATTGGCTCAGCCGTCACTTACTTGCACTGACGCTTCCCTGGTGATACTTTTACCCCTTGTGTTCGGCTCACGCACTTACACTCCTTTTCAGCCTTCTGAATATTTATCAGCTTGATGACCATTTTGAACTTGCTTCAGCTACAAATCCACTCGACCCATTTTTACGATATTTTCATTTGTTGCTACGCAAGTCATTCATGTCAGCAAGACTAATACGAGTCTGTTATTTCCCCCTTCCCTACCTTCCCCTATCTATTGCAGCGTGAGTGAATTAAATTGTTTGGTTTCATTTGTTTTGATGTTTTCAATTTGTTAGCTATGACTTCGTTAGTAATGCAGCCCCATATCCATAGATGCTTTCATGCTACTCTTTTAGACGTAAATTATGTGTATTCTTCTATGGTAGCTATATACAAAAAAAAAAAAAAACAAAAAACGACAAGCTAGTTGAGGGTGGGAATGCTAGGGCGGGTAACGGGTCGTATACATTGGATAGAGTACAAATATGCGTCATAGATAGCAAAATATGACAGGGAAATGATAGGGAAAGGGACTATTAAAAGAAAATAAATGTAAACGTAGATGAGTGATGGGCATTAGAGGGGGGGAGAAAAATCGCCAGAGTTTATCCTAAGTAGTTAGTTACCTATAGTGCACCCTTTTATAGGTGGTGTCACTCGTCATCAACAAAAGAGTTGGCTAATGGCCCAAAGATAGGAACTTGATAATGTTCCAAGGAATCGACTATACTGATGTCAGTAGTATAATAGTGTAAATTCTGATATATCTACTCACCGTCACGATAGGCATGCATGCTCAGGAACCCAATAAGGCCAAGGTTAAATATGAACAATAACCAGGATATAATACTTGACCAAGCAAATAACATGTGAATAACCTAGGTTTCGTTAGAAATAAGGGCGAGGGAAGTAAAATATTGGTAGATAGAAAGATATCCGTACAAACATAAAGGTGAAAAGCAAACTAGATTGCCATGCGTGGAATCTATTTCACAAGTCAGAACAGCACATACATATTTTCTACCTAACAAGGTCCAGGGGACATAGAACATACCGCACATAATCACTCTTATGCTCTGTCAAAAGTAAAAATACCCCTCCTGCCGGTGGTAGCAAGAGGTATGCCAGCATGGCTTCGTAATCCATACGTAGTGGGAGACTGGTCTCGAACGCGCCCAAGCTCATACGGCCTCCCTCAACGTCTCTTCCATAGCCGTATCCAAACCCTTGCGCATTATTTTGTGTGTTTCTGTCAAGGTTTGACGAGTTCCGTGGGTGGTTTTGGCTCAGCGGTGAGGGTGTGTGACGGGGAGAAGCGGCATGTATGCGGTTGGCATTTGCGAGGGGCGGGGAGAGCGCGCGCTCGATGTCGGGGGACTGGTCCTGGTAGGGCGCGAAGTTCATGGCCATTAGGGTAGATCAAGATGTAGTCTAGGGCGTACTCATGGGTAGAAGTGTTGATATCTTTACGTGGATAACTTTGAACGTGGTTGCCTCTCCATGTGGTCAACTGATGATGTAGCTAGTTAACTAGCTAACTTAGGTTTTTGGTGTTATTATCCCGAAGACCTTAAGACGCTGCCGGGCAGGCTTGGCGTTATGTAAATACGTCAGGGACTATGCTAGCTGTTCAGGGCTGACAGTCCATACATTTGATGAAAATGGCTCTTCTCACTCATTTCTAACATTGTTTTGAGGGTATCACGCTTGTACGTCTATTTACATTGGCTTGGAGGGTGGTCGTCTTACGGCCCTCGTACCCTTCCCCGGCCCCTTGCAATCGCTGAGGTTCTCCCATACTCGACACCGGCTCTTCTGGCAGTAGGTATCCCCCTTGTAGTACTCGTAGGCACTCGTGTAGAAGGTTGTCCGGTCTGTGTTCGAGAAACGCTTTGAGTGCGACTCACTCCTGTTCGTGTTGTTGACGGCCTCACAATGCCGCGCCTCGCCCTAGTGGTTGACGATGTTTGTGCTGTTCGCCTCCGCTGTTCTTCCTCGGCCTTGCGTTCCTGTGCTAGTTTCCGCTCTTGCAGCTCAAGTTCTCTTCGTTCTGCCTCTTGTTGTCGTTCACGAGCCTCGGTCTCTATATCGGTCATGTCTTGAGTAGCACCCTGCCACGACGGATCTAAAACGAGTCTTCTGTTATGCTCCGTCTGGGAAAGAATGCGAGTCCAGGTGTCAAGTAGGGTAGAGGCAGAGGAAACCGTCCGGGCAACGCTCTACACAGACTCAGGTTAGCAGTTTGTTTGGTATTTCAGTATACATCAGCAGTCCCATACCTCCATGTTTCCCTTTGCGCGTTCCAGGCTTTCAACAACGCCTTCTATCACAGCATTGATATCTCGTACCGACTTGAGCTCTGCCCGCAGAGCTGTTTCTCTATCGTCCTCTTCCCGTGCCTCTGCGCTGGTGTATTGGTGGTAGCTCTCCTTTGCCCGTCCCGAACCTTGTTCTGTCTGCGCATCCCAGCCGGGCTCTTCCTTCTCCTGTAGCTGTAGCCCATCCATCTCTGCTGTGGGCGTCGCCATCTCTCTCGCAGCTCTTCCTCCTTGTCCCCTTTGCTTCTGCTGTTCCTCTGCTTCCTGTCCCTCTCTGTTGTCCCTCACCAGCTGTTTGCTATCTTTAAAATGTCAAAGGTGGGAGGGAGCAAAGACCACGCTAAGCCCCTTTGGGCCTTTGTTGTTGAGTGGGCCGTGCGCGTCCCTGTTTTTTTTTCCTTTTTTAGTTTTGTGTGGCTGGAAAGACTAAACGGCAATTTTCAACTTCATCTCTTACCAACCACCGGATTTTCTTCTTCTTCAGCACTTTGTATGCACAGAGAAGAAGACAAGCAACCAGGCAAACAGACAGCAAGAGACAGACGCTGCAGCCAGAGCAGTGTGAAAGGAGCCGTGGACAAGTGCCCGAGCATCGAGACCGCGCTTTACCGCCTGTTTTATTCCCCGGAACCACCCCCAGCCCCATGAGGACGTGATAGTCGAGGACAGCGATAAGACCCTACATACAACAAACACCCTATTTCGGCCTGGTAACCAGGTAACCAGCAACCACGCAACGATGACTACCACCCCGCCGCCGTCGTCCGCTATCCGGACTCCTCCCACTCCTCGCTACGGCTCTCGATACGACAACTACGAGCCGTATTCCCCTCGCCGCTCCAAACGCATTGCTGACCAGCAACATCTGTTCAGCGGCTCTGCTGCTGCCCTAGACGCGAGTACGACTGGTCTTGTCAAAGAACACGCCTTAAGACGCGATCAGGAGCTACATCAGCTTGGCATCAGTGGTAGAGCTACTTACTCTCCACCACACTCACAAGTTAGCTCTCCTAAGCGAAGTAGTGAAAGACTGGACATGAACTCTCCTTCTCTTTCACCACCACCAAAGAACAGAGTCAGATCTGAACCTGTTTCATCTTCACTTCCTCACTCCTCATCCTCTTCTTCATACAGAAGCACAATGGATGGCAATACCAACAGCAGCTTGGCTGCCAACGGAATGCTTCCTACGCCAGCGAAGACTCCTCGTAAGAAGCAAATCGAAGACCTTGGACCTACAGCCCGCACTCTATTCTCCAGCAGCTCCAAGCCTGCCCAAGACCCAGCAGCCATGATGCCGAAGCGTTCCAAGAAGTACTCAGGCTTTTCACTTGAGAGCTTTGAGGCTGACCCTCAGCAGGCTAGTCAGGAGCCTATAGCTATATTTACCGACTCTCGAGATCGAATTCCCCAAGTGAACAATAGCCCAGACAATCCCTTCCGCAGCAAGCCTGCCGAAGGTGAACCATCCTCCTCCAAGCTTTCTGCAGAGGCTGGCAAACGCAGAAAGCTCGATGAAAGTAGCCGCAAGCGGGACAAGAATGTGGACAAGGCTATACGTCGAGATGACGGATTACTCTATGTTTTGTAAGTCTATCCAGCGTTTTATTTACTCTAGGTTACATTTGATGCTAATTATTCTCCTTAGCCGAGGCAAGAAGGTGTTCCGCAAGTTCAAACCAGAGGTAGAGGAAGAAGATGATGATGATGACTTGGGTCTTTTGGCCTCTCGCAGCGAACTCAAGTCCGAGTCTATACCCCGCATCCGCCCTCTGACCCGTTCTTCCATCAAACCCCGTGTCCTGTTCCCTGAAGCTAGAGCCGCTCCTGTTCCCTGTGAGAAAGAAGAAGAGCCGAGCACCCCGTCAACCATAGTTGAAGCAGAGGAGGAGCAAGATGAAGAGCCGGATGAAGAGCCAGTTGAAGAGTCAGCTGAAACTGCCGACCAACCAGCCACTGCTCATGCAGAAAATGGATCCTCAGAGAACCCAATCACACCGGAAGGTCAGATCATCCAGACAGATACCCCCTCGTCACCACTTGCTTCTGGACGCTCTCTCCGCTCTCATGGCCTCAAGGCAGGTTCTGGGCCTGAACATTGTGATCCTGACACTCCAACGGCAAAACGCATCAGCCCCTTTGACAGATGGCGCAGAGGCAAGTCTCACTCCACGCCCACTAAGACGAAGAAGAGAGGAATCGATGGCAACTCCAACCAAACTTCAAAGAAGTCTCGCAGCCACTAAACTTCAAACTTCTTATTGTGGTCTTTCGATACACCTCTCCTGAGCCGTATTTCCTTTCCTTCTCATACTTTCTTTTCCTTCACTTCCCCTGTTTCCCCCCTTCTCTTCTCGGTACATTTATCCCTGTTTTCCAAATCCTTCGATGACTGCATGCTCATGACCTTCTCATTTTTCCCGGACCTCAAACCTCAAACCTGGCTTTCTTTTTTATTCCCCCCCCCCCCCCCCCCTCCCCCTCTCCTTCATTCACTTATTCTATGGCCTTTTGTAATCAGTGCCCCTTCTCCTTTTTCCCTTTCCTTTTAACTGCCAGTTGCCTTCATGACCTGATATCAGCTCCAGTCTTTTATCTCATATGTTCTTTTTGCCCTTGGGTTTTTTTTTTTTTACAAGATACCATCAAAATGCCTACCAGTGGATGGAGTGACAGGAGAAAGTGGCTTTCAAGTGGTCTTAGGATGTGGTTATTTTGTTCTTGTTCTTGCTTTTTTTTTTCTTTTTTTGATCCTTTGTAGTTCATCACTGCGTACAGGCTAAATTGTCGTCGTCTTAGTGTACCGGCGTATGGATGGGGGCCACTGCAAATGTGCGCGTTTAGATAGAATAGTGTGCGATTAGTACCAATACCAGTTATATTGAAAGTGTACATCAATAGCGTAGTTATAAGTCTCTCTCTCTCTGGATATTATAAGGGATGGATTACTATAAACCCTCTATGCATTTAATATCATTTTTTTAGAAGAAGGATTTGCTTGGTATTTAGTATCTAGAAAGAATAATTACCGATAACAGATACTAAATTCTACAACTAGAACAATAAGAACAAGTTATCATTCAGTCTTCCCCTAAAAGAAGGTAAACGCCTAGTAGGGTATAGGAAATGTCATGAAAATCCCTCCGTGTCTAAACTATACAATGTCCAAGTCATCATTATAATCCGTTGCATCCTGGGTAGCCTTTCCAAGGCTATATCTGCCGGCCTCTCTGATGCCATTGGCAGTAATAAATCTCGTCTTCTTCACCGTTGTCTGCACATTACCATCCTTGCCACGTCTAAGCTTAATGCCTTTAGCATTTTTTTGAAGGTTGTCCAGGCCAAGGAAAGGGTCGTTTCCAGAACTGTTGTCATTCGATCGGCTCTGATTGCTAGTAGTATGGGAGCTAGCCGTTGCAGAAGTGGAATTGGCTTTGCTCTCAGCTTCTACAGTGTCCTTGTGATGAGCCCGAAGGTATTCGGCCCCAACGCCCTTGAATTCGCCCAGTGACCTGGCGATGGTACGCTCTCTCTCCTGGTCTGCGAGGCGTTTCCGAAGGCGTTCGGCCTTTGAGTTCCCCCCTCGGTCAAAAGATCCAGCGTCTATGAAAGGATCGTCTGCGTCTAATAGACTGGATGCAGTGCCATCCCTTCCTGGAAATTGACTTTGCCTATTTCCGATAGCTGAAGTCGCAGCCGGCGCAACGTAGTATCTGGTGCCTGTTGCCCGATCGAAGTTCCCTCCACTATCAGTATTACTCCGAGTACCACTTCCTTGTGAAACATTTTGTTCTCGCCTTGCACCGCGGAACCCGCTAAACCGAGGCCCGAACCTAGTCGAAATTCCAGGTCCGCTGTTAACTTCCATTCTGCCCGAAGTGGTTTTGCGAAGCTGTGCTTCTACATGGAAGTCACAGTATTCCGTTTTGCGAGAGTCAACCCAGGACTCACAAACTTTGCCGTCTCTTTTAACCGCCTTACAGAAACCTATGTCCTGGGCAGTTCCAATCTCTAGGATTGTATCCTCCGATGAATGCAATGTCAAGCTGAAGGCATTCGTATCAATCCTATGACGCGGGGGTGGCATTATTGCAGGGTTTAAGACAGCAATTAAGGTCCCAGGAGCAAGCCTATAGTAACGGGGGAAAGCTGTCGAAAACAGAAAGAGGTCGATGGTCCATTTCAGATCCGTCAATGTTAGAACCATGTATTTGTTAGCGTTATGCCCATCTTCAGGCTCATCATCATTCTTGTTCCCCCCAGCTTTCTTGTCTTTATGCTCTTTGGGAGCTGACTTGGAGCCCACAATGCCAAAAACAACAAAATCTCCATCAGTCTCAGGAGATTCAAAATCCGGCCCTTTGACTGTTCGTAGGAGGTCTGGTATACGCATGGTGGTTTTAGAATCGAAGGTGCGTTTAAGGAATGAATGAGGTAAAATGCGCGTAGATAGATGTAAGGAGGAGAAGGGTTCGAACTTTGTTGGATCTGCTGGCTTGACTTCAGTTCCTATGGAAGATGATGATTCGCTCCTAGCGGTGCGGGTCACCCTGCTCTCTGAGTTGCTCCGGCCAATCCGTGACAACTGACTGCGGTCTCGTTTGGACGGCGATGTAGGGGGTATATTTTCAGTTGAAGATGACTGCGTTACACGTACAGGGGAGGTCAATCGTTCGCGTTTTGTCGATGGGACAGCTCCAAGATCAATTGTTGACTCCTTTGCTGCGGCATGGAACCGCTCCAGTTCATTCTTGTCAACACCAAACCCGGTGGTTCTCTTCTGCTGTAATGCCCATGATTTATCTCTTCGCTCTTTATCATTAGCCCTACTCTCTATCATCCGATCACTGAAGCTTTTGAATTTATCAAGCCGACTGGTGGTACTGGGAGGTAGTAGCTGTGTCTCACGGCTAGATCCTCTGGTAAAGAGATTTCCCGCTTGGCTCCCAGTGGTTTGCTTGTTATCATAGGGGTTTTGACCCATTGATTTGGGCCGTCTCAAAGAAACGTCAGGTGCCTTGCGCCCCTTGTCAATACCCCAGATCACCCTTTGTGGAGATATAGGAGCCACCGGCGGAGGTGGTCTTTTTACTGGAGAAAGAGGAACCTGCACATTCTCTTGATATGACGTATCGGCAGCCTTCCTCTTCCGTTCTCCCAATACTCGACTTCCATGATAGCCTTGGCTCTCGGGCCCCGGACTTATACTCCCCGAAGGGCCCTCAAATGATTCTGTCTCTGAATCTGCTTGCTTGAGCCGTGCCTTGCTCTGTTGCAGCCTCTTCAGCTTCAACCGAGCCTCTATAGCAGCAAGTTTGAGTTGCAATGTCTCTTCGTCGTCTTCGTCGTCTTCATCTTCTAAATTTTCGTCTAATATTCGTCTCGCCTTAGCAGATGATATACCATAATCCGTGGCGGCGCGTCGTTTATTCTGGATTTCTTCAAACTTCTTGCGACCGTTTGGAGAGGACATCAGCGCGGCGTGAGGGGACTTCGGAGGCCAAGGAATGTCGCCCACTATCACAGCCTTAGTAAATCTGTCTTGTACTTCCTGGATGGAACCAGATAAACTCACTAGTGAACCAGGAAACTCTGAATGATAGTTCTTAATAGTCACAAGCTGAATCTCTCGCATCTAGCATGTTGTGTGGAGGGTGGCTGTAATTGAGTAGTATGGGAGGCGACTTCCGCGAAACAACTTCCACTGCTTATTTAACAGCAGGAAATGGCCCATGGCAAGGACAAATAGGCGACTGACAGTCTCATAGTCGACTGGACGATCTGAATAGCCAGCCACTTCAGATAAAAAACCAGGATGAAATATTGATTCTGTGGCCGGGGAAACTTTCCAGGATGACGATCACGTGTGCGGCATGTCCCCAGACGATTTAGTAACCGGCGTCAGCAAAGGCGGCGGTCCAGGTCTCATACCCCAATCGCTATGGTCCGCGAAACTGCTGCATAGACGCAAGAGACGGGTGCCTTCAGACTGAAAACCCGGCTAGTCAATTGTCCTTATATAACTGACTAGAAATTAAGAAAAAAGATGAATCGTGTATATTTGTTTTTCTACTCGCGTCAATTTCGCGATCGCCAAGTGCCGCTTTTTTTAGGTTAATTAAGCTCGTGTGGGTCTGTCTGGCGTGTGTTTTTTGGCGCCGAAAGGGGCAACGAGAACTTCCTCCGGGTTGTCTGTCTGCGGTCAAATTCGCGACGGACGATGAAGCAGCAGAGCATGTTGAACGGACCAGTCCTACATACAACGGAAAGATGAAGACTAGGGCTGGCTCTGGCAAGGCACCAGCTCCTGCTGATGATGGAGCGATGGTTAAACCAGCTGCTGAGCCGCCGAAGTTTTACAAGACATTGATCCTACCATCTGCTGCCTCCGAAGACGCGCGATTTATCCAGCTTCAAAACCCCCGAACGAGCAGGCTGACCAGGTATTACTTCTGCCCAAAGCTGGGCGTGTTCGAATTCACGTCGGTTTCGCCTCCAACCACCACACCGCGGAGCTTTCTGTTCGTCAATTCAACAGACGGAGACACTCGGCAGAAGGACGCAGTATCGGAGGGACAACCAGTGGGAGACAATGGATTTACTTCGAAGACCGGCCAGCTTCATGTTGCCACACCCGTCGACATCATGTTTTTTATCCTACCGATAATTGTGCCTTCGAGTCCCAGCTCGGAGCGCACCCTTTTCCAGCCGCTAGACGATATAATAGATGCCAACGAGGATATTTCTCCTCATCTCCGCAAGGTTTTATATACCACGGAATTCAGAAAAACTGTTGAAAGAAGAATGGCATCAGTGTGCGAAACAATTGACGCCGATGGCATGATGTTCAGGTTCAGTGAAAAGAAGCTTGTGGAGGAGCTGCTCGCCAAAGCTGAAAGGATGGTTAAGAACGGACTTCCTCCTAGTCTTGAAGCTAGATTTGTACATCAGGTACTGGAGCCTCCCATGGTCAGCGTGAGCAAAATGTCAAGTACCCAACCAGGCGACGAAGGGAATGACAACAAAAAAGATATCCAACCAACTCAAAGTACAAGTGATTCCCAAGCCTCCTCTGAGATGGCAACTACACAAAACTCGTTATCAACCAACCTAACCGAACCCGCAGACTCTCAAGAGGAGATACCTGTGCCAAAACCAAATTACAGCCCAGAAATAGCTCATCTTATGCGTCTCCGAGCTGCTCTGTCTTTTATACAATCCTCCTACCTCCAACCTAATCTATCAATCAGAGTTTCTGACGCCCTAAGCTCTTCATCATCACCAAAAGACTTTGTCGCTCTAGATGAGTATCTACAGAATCTTGCAAATCTTCGTGCAGAAGCGCAGGCATCGAGATCAATGTATGACATGTCGAGACGGAAGCGAGGGTATGAGGACGACGAAACCGCCGAAGAGAAAGCAGAAAAGAAGAGAAAAGCACAAGAAGAGGAAAAGAAGAAAAAGGCGAGTATGTCTCGAGGCGTACGGGATTTGAAGAAAGTTAATACTTCTGGCATGCAAAAATTATCTTCTTTTTTTGCCAAAGCACCCGCGAAGAAATGACTTGGCACATCCAGCCATTGTTAACTGTGGTATCTATTTCTACCTTGTTAACAAGAAGGAAAGTGACTAGAGGCAAGCAGTTTGTTCCCTCAAGCCGTATACCAAACGACGAAGCTACGCGGAGAAATGAGTACAGCAGCAATTAACAAATAGGTGCATCTGTATTCCCCAAGTGGTATATATGGGAAGATATGCTGCATTTCAAAAGCCGAAGGACATAGGCTCTTCGAAAACTTACTGAGCTATCTGCTTCCTGAGGGTGAAACTAGCAATGCTTCGAAGATACAGACTTTGAAGGCTACGGCCATGATTTGGAGACGTTGCAGGAACTCCTACCAAAGTCAAGAGACGTAGACAAACATACGAACAGCAATTATTACTAAATATATATTACAAGAGATTCAATACAATGCCGATCTCACTGAACATCGGTTATTGCAGCACCAGTAACCCTATACAACGTTAGCATAATTCAACAAGACGAAGTATGAAGAGGCAGACATACAAAAATGATCCATTAGATGGCTTGCTAATGACCATTGCCTGGCTGAGTTTTTCCTTGTCCATGTCTGGCCATCTTTTCAAATAGTATTCCTCCTTCAACGCCCTTGTGACATTCTCGACCTTCTCCAGGGGAACCATATTTACTGTACAGCCACCCCATCCTGCACCTGTCAGACGGCTGCCCAGTGAGCCAGCCCGTCGTGCAATTTCACACAATTCGTCAACTTCGGGACAAGTGCAGTCATAGACATCTCGACAAGACGCCTGGGATTCGTTAAGAAGCTGTCCAAGATACTCTAAATTATGCTGATCGAGCTTATGGGAGCGAGCAAGGCACGATCTGAAATCGAGTACACGACGGGCTTCCTTAAAGCAGTGTAGCGCACGTTGGCGGAGATAGAACCTTTCTGCTTCCACAGGGAATGAGGAGAGGAATTGTTCCTCGACCTGTGGGACTGTGAGTTGCAGGAGTTCAGCGATGTCGGCACGGGTGTACCCTTGCTCCTGCTTGAAAGTCTCCTCCACAATGAGAATGAGAGAGTCAAGTTGGTATTCAAACGGGTCATCCTGGCGACCATCCTGGCGCATCAGCTCGTGGTGTAAATTTCGAAGGCTGTAGCCTAATGAGCTGCTATCCTTTTGAAGGGTGATATTGTGTTTCTGAGCGAGAATAACAGCCGCAAGAGTGCATTCTGCCACACGAAGGTTATAGTGGCGGGGAGCAGTTTCGGCCTTGTTGGAGGTTACAAAGCTCTGAGCCACCATAAAAGTGATATCAGTAGAGGCCTTGGGGATGGCCACATGTTGCACTTTGAACTTTGGGAAGAAAGTGACATAGAGAAGATATCCCCTCCGCGAGAAGATTGAAGCAGCCTGATCCATCCTGCTATACCGTTAGCCATTCCTACAAATTGACTTGGGGAATAGAGATGCACACACCCTCCTGAATACACGCCTACTGCACGTTCAGATACAATCGAAATGTCCAAGAGCTCCTGTTTGGAGATATTATGCCCATTCGCCTTGACGACAGCCAAAGCGCTTGCACAAACAAATGCAGCACTGCTCGATATACCACCCCCGGGTGGTACGTTACCGTCGACCAAAGCCTCAATATTTACCGGGACAAATGCTGGGTTTTTCTCCCGCAGATACTTAACGGCCACCCGAAGGCCAGCCTTGAAGTAATTGACCCAATCTGGCCTGGATGCATCGATGTCCACCTCTCGATCCGATGAGACAACAAATTCACTAGCCGCAAACCTGGGGTCGGTGTTGTCCACTTTAATGGTTGCCTCTGGGCCTGATGTTGGCATAGTCTTCACAGCGACAAGCGCATCTACACTTAAGGCGGTAGGAAGTACATCGTAAAGCGAATAGTCGATATGTTCTCCTATGATGTTGACTCTTCCAGGACTCCGGGCAACAAATCCAGGCGCGTCACCGTAGCGGCCCTTGAACTGTTTAATCAGGTTATTCCACCTGGCTTGTTGCTCTGGGTCTAGAGACTGCTTCGTGTCTGGCTCTGCTACATACACATCCCTGAGGGATTGTGTTTCTGGCACGAGTTCTGCGTCCATGGTGGGGTTGTGTGTTCTTTTTTTTTTTTTGGTGATTTTGATAATGACGTCGAGTTAAGTTGTATGGTTAGCCGATCCCAGACTTCGGATAGCTTAAACTCTGTTCTTTTGTTATCAAAGTCTGTTTTTTGTTGACATCAAGAAGTGATAAATTATAGTAGCGTTGACAGATGGATAAAATCGTGCATATTGTTCGATCCTATGCCGTCATGGGTAGCTACTCTTTCCCCACGTCTAATTGATGTTTGCTAAGCAAGGCCTGACAAGGGTGTCCCGCCAAAAAGCAAAGAGACTCGGCCGATTCCAAGCGCTACCTCTGGAGCTGGGTTGGACGGGCATATAAATAATGAACGCTCATCCCCCACACGGCAGACAAGGTCAAGATGAAGCCCAAAACACAGGAAGACAGCCGTATATGTGCTGCCGTCTCATGAAAGGGAGGCACCATGTTACCCTGTCCCCAGGGCCATACCTCAAGGACGGTTCAACCGTGCCTCAAGAATGAACCAACACCATGCTCAACCCGAGCGAGCCATGGCCTTCCGGCCAAAACGCATACTCAGAGCGAACACCCTCACCTGCTAACCTCCAGATTCTCAGCTTTCTGTCCTAGGCTGCAGCCTGCCATCGGGGACACCAAGGCCGTCGGTCTTCTCTTCCACCATCAAGATGGAACGTCCATGATGGTGGGAAGTCGACGCCCCCGATCCCTGGAACCTCTTCGGATCGACGGAAGCTCGCTCTTTCTTGCTCCGAAGGCCCTGCTTTTGGATGAGCTTACCTCATCACTTACTCAGCAAACAACATCATGTGACCATCACATGTCAATATCACGTGATAAGTTACGTGATTTACACGTGACTTTGAGAACTGACCAATCAGACAGCGTGCAGCCTCCGATGACCGGCCTGCTACTGGCCGAGGTCGCCCCGCCGTCTTCTTTAGCTCCGAAAAAGGAAAAGCAGGAAAAAAAAGGTGAAGTGACTGTGCGAACGCAGGCAAAAGAAAGGCCGAACTAGAAGATGATCGCGAAAAGAGTCATAGCCTGCCCACGCCCCGTACATTGCTCCTCCGCCCCGTCTTAAAAGGCTGCACTTCCTCCGCCTCTCCCCGTCCGACCTCGACCTCGACTCGTTTTGCTTCTTCACTCACTGCACCCGTACTCTACCACCGGCATTGTACCCTCCCAGCTATCATCAAAAACTCCCATGATGATGCTGTCCGCCAGCAGGGCGTCAAGGAGTGCGCTCCGCACTGCCAATTGTCTCTCACATACATCACAGGCCAGCAGGAGGCAGTTCTCGGCCACTGGGGTAGCCTCTGCTCTCTCACCGCACCGACGACCGTCGCAGAAGGCCGGCTCTCTAGATACATCGAAGCGCGGACAGAGCACGGCTACTGCTTCCTCACCGTATGACACGCTGCACCCCGGATCCTCAAGAATGTTGTGAAAGCTGACGGGATCAAAATAGACAAGCAAGACCAGTTCCCAGCCCAGCCTTCAACCAGGATGCTGACAGACATGACATTTCTCCTCTTCACAGGAGACATGCTCCGGCCCTGGATGACTCGTATGTCTAATAAAATAAACAATCCAAGTGTTTACTGAGTCATCTAACCAAGGGAAAACCTCATAGCTTTGTTGGGCTGAGTGGTGGTCAGATATTTCATGAAATGATGCTGCGTCTCGGAGTCAAGCATATATGTGAGTCAGAAATCGCCAAGGGGAAAGGCAGCGAGAAAACCTCAGTTGCTGACTTTGTATGTCATCGTAGTTGGATACCCTGGTGGTGCTATCTTGCCCGTTTTTGATGCCATCTACAACTCAACACATTTCGACTTCGTCCTTCCCCGACATGAACAAGGTGCCGGCCACATGGCTGAGGGATACGCCAGGGCCACAGGCAAACCTGGTGTTGTCCTTGTCACCTCTGGCCCCGGAGCCACCAATGTCATCACCCCGATGCAAGACGCCCTTTCAGATGGCACTCCCATGGTTGTCTTCTGCGGACAGGTCCCCACCACCTCCATTGGTACAGATGCTTTCCAGGAGGCTGACGTTATTGGCATCTCGAGAGCTTGCACAAAATGGAATGTCATGGTAAAAAACGTCGCAGAGCTTCCTAGGCGCATCAAGGAAGCGTTCGAAATTGCTACTAGCGGACGACCAGGACCGGTCTTGGTTGATCTACCCAAGGATGTCACTGGTGGTATCCTTCGAAAAGCCATTCCAATGGCTTCCAGCATACCAGCACACCCCAGTGCAGCTTCCATTGCAGCTCGTGAACTTAGTCGGCAACAGCTAGAGGCTTCCATACAACGTGTAGCTAAGCTGGTAAATGTGTCTAAGAAACCAGTCCTTTATGTCGGCCAGGGTCTCAGTGCTCGCCCTGAGGGACCAGCTCTGCTGAAGGAGCTAGCTGATAAGGCTAATATCCCTGTCACCACAACCCTGCAAGGACTGGGCGGATTTGATGAGCTAGATCCAAAATCCCTGCACATGCTCGGAATGCACGGCTCTGCCTATGCTAACATGGCCATGCAAGAGGCTGATCTTATCATTGCCTTGGGTGCCCGCTTCGATGACCGTGTTACCGGAAACATTGCCAAGTTCGCCCCACAGGCCAAGGCAGCTGCTCTCGAAGGTCGTGGTGGTATCGTACATTTCGAAGTGATGCCCAAGAACATCAACAAAGTTGTTGAAGCCACTGAAGCCGTCGAAGGCGACTGTGCCGATAACCTTGCCATTCTCCTCCCTCACATTAACCCAGTCGCTGAACGACCAGAGTGGTTCGCACAGATCAATGACTGGAAAGCTCGCTTCCCGCTCTCAGCCTATGATCGACAGACAGCTAATGGTCTCATCAAACCACAGGCCGTCATCGAGAAACTCAGTGAGATGACTGCCCACCGAAAGGACAAGACCGTCATCACCACTGGTGTCGGTCAGCACCAAATGTGGGCTGCCCAGCACTTCCGCTGGCGCCATCCACGCTCAATGATCACCTCTGGTGGATTGGGAACCATGGGTTATGGCCTGCCATCTGCCATTGGCGCCAAGGTTGCCCGACCAGATGCCCTTGTTATTGACATTGATGGAGACGCCTCTTTTAACATGACTCTCACTGAACTCTCGACTGCTGCCCAGTTCAACATTGGCGTCAAAGTCATTGTTCTCAACAACGAAGAGCAGGGCATGGTCACACAATGGCAGAGCTTGTTCTATGAGGACAGGTTTGCGCATACACACCAGAAGAATCCGGATTTCGTCAAGGTTTCCGAGGCTATGGGTGTCCAGGCCAGGCGATGTCTTACTCCTGACCAGGTAGAGTCGAGTCTGCAATGGCTGATAAATAGCGAAGGCCCTGCATTGTTGGAAATAGCGACTGACAAGAAGGTGCCTGTCCTACCAATGGTGCCTGCTGGAAAGGCCCTACATGAGTTCTTGGTATATGATGAAGGTATGTTCCATTTATCAATCTTCTAAATAATACCTACGCATGATGGAAAACTAACGTCTTTCTCAATATAGCCAAAGAAAAGGAACGAAGAGCCTTGATGAAGAAGCGATCTGGATATTAAACCCTTCCGTCCCTCTCTGTTCTTGCTGCCAGCTTTATACTTCCTTCTTCCTTGATAGCGTCCTGGGCGTCAAAGCCATCGGCCCTTCGCTTAATTTGCTTCTTCATATAGTTCTTTAACTCCCTGCCATCCTTGAAGCTACTTACTGTTTATATTGCATCTTTCATATGTTCCCTGCGTTTGATTTTGATATCCACGGTGTTTGTCTCCTCCAACGTGATATTCCAGTTTGAACTCTTTTTCCCTTTTCGGGTCGGCCTGGCGAACTAAAAATTTTCTTACTAAAATGCACGTTTTGATTTAATCTTGTTGAGTTGTGGGAAATGCGACTTTCATACTCATGACTCACATATGGTAGATAATTGAATGGATTATTTCTTCCATTGCCCAGATGTTTGAAGCGGCACTTCTGTCATTGTATCCCAGGTGCCGAATATCTCCACCATTCGTACTTTGCTATATTTTTCGTCGTTGAGATGTCCATGTGTCCATATGCACAACTTTTGGTATGACTGTTTTAATATGGGGACTATTTATTAGGTGGTGTACACAAGCTGTACCTAGTCATAATTGCGAGAACCTTAGGGAATAAGGTGCATTGAATTGTATTAATATACTTTGACTAGTTATGGTGAACCTCAAAAGGTGTTACTCTGCTTTCTCTTCAGGCTCTGAGGAGGGCTTTGGAAATAAACGATGCAAGGGAGCGAATTTAAGTTGAGGCTAAATTTAGCTTTAGGATAGAACAAATGTTAACGAGTTAGCCGTACGCTAGCTGTTTCTATTCTAGATTTAACTTTATTAACAGTCTATCGCCCAAGCATACAACCGGCCTACTCTATCCGATCTTTGAGCCACAGCGCTCACACCTGAAAATGCCTTTTCCCAACATGCCCCTTGTTTACTTCGTATAACTATATAGCATAAGATAAATTATTAAAAGTACCAGCTCCACTTCTCTCTACTTGAGATATTATATATAGATACTGTATCTAGAGGCGTTTCCATAGCTTCTGTTACGGGATCATATCAATAGAATAACTTATTAAGTACGCGAGATAAGAGATATGCTTCTCTACGCGGGTGACAAGCTTTTATTATTTGCCCTTGACTCAATGTTGGCCACCGAGAAAGCATGAGTTAAGGTTAACTTATCGACTCATAAATCACCAACCTACAAGGCCAAATATAATTAAGCGCTAACCATCAAACATGAGTATATGATTGCTGCTCCTCGATATTCACATATGGACCATACTTCAAATACAAAGCATGCATTAGGCCTTAGAATACTCTTCAGAAGTTCTCCCGCTACCTGTGAATTTCATTGGGCGGAATTATGTCACGTGATAATATTTCTAAACTTAGGTGGGCCGCGGCAAGAGCCTTCGCTTCACAGGGAATCGACGATGCTTCATGTTCTCTCGTTCACCATGCATCGCTCTTTTGTTTCTCAAAGGTGACCACTGTGCTCCAAGACATTTACGGATCCAAAATAGTCGATTACTTTACATATTGAAGATATACTGACAGTTGCCAACGTCGAAGTGGGTTTCTGGCCGGTCTATTGTACCTATGTCGTCGCCTTCACGTCCCCGCTCACAAGGGTTGAATCGCGACACCCCTACCTTGGAACACGGTTCACAGGAGGAGGGGGAGAATGTCGCCCAGGGTGCCAGCCACGATGAACATCCCGTTGAGAACGAAACCGAAGCTCCCGTGGTGCCAGTTTGCCACGGCGCACGAATAGTCGATTCAGATGACAGTGACGATGTTGCGCCTATAATGCCACACCCCGAATCAATGACGCATGAACTTTCTCCCAGAGAGTTGGAGGCAATCTGCCTAAATGACGAACTGTCTACGTCGAATATATTTCCAGGTGAAAGTGATCTTCGGAAATGTTGGATTTGCTATACCGACGAATCGGAAGATTCGCCCCTCAATAAAGAATGGCGGTCTCCGTGTCCATGTGCATTAAGCGCGCATGAGGCATGTTTACTAGATTGGCTCGCGGATATGGAAAATACGGAAGGCCCCAACAGGAACCAGGACGGGGCCATGCTGCTTTGCCCTCAGTGCAAATCGGAGATTCATATGTCACGACCGAATAGCCTCATTCTGGATCTCGCGCACAAGTGTGAGGGCATGCTTAACCGTCTGGTACTTCCCGGAGTAGCATTTACTTTGGTAGGGACTGTTTGGGCTGGATGCTGTGCCCATGGTGTATACTCGATGTACCTTATTTTCGGCAGAGAGACTACAATACGGTTGCTTGAAGAAGCTGCGCAGGGACCTTTGGGTATTCGCCTAAATCTTGGTCTTCCGTTGATACCAATATCATTGATGTTCTCGAGAACTCAATATGCTGACAGCCTGCTACCTGTGATTCCTGTTTTGTTTTTCGCTGCACACCATCCATACCACCAGGAAATGGACCTTCAGCTATGGCCACCAAGTGCATCCATGACATTTGCAGCGTTGCCATATATTAAAAGCGCTTACAACTTACTTTACAGAAAATTACTTGGCGACTTGGAAAATGAATGGATCTCGACCGTACGTACTCGACTAAACGCAGATGAGGACGTACGCGGGCCAAGACGCCGTCGTGATTTCCAAGATGAACCAGACAACGCCGAGGTAGTCATGGAGATCGAGCTACAAATGGGCGTTGGCGCTGGTAATGATGGACAGCGACCTGCCGGAGGGGCACATGATAATGAAAATGGCATTCAAGCTCATCAAATCATGGCACACCGTCAAGGTAATATGCTCCGCGAAACCACTAATCTGGCGGACATCGTACTTGGCGCCTTGGTTTTCCCAGCTATCTCCGCTGGTATGGGAGGGCTATTGAAGTGGGCGCTCCCGAAAACATGGACAACCCCTTCTCTGTACGAGAGAGGTAGGCCATGGTTACTCCAGACGAGATGGGGAAGAAGCGTTATCGGTGGCTGCGCTTTCATCCTTTTCAAGGACGCCTTCTTACTTTACTGCCGATACAAGCGTGCTTGCTTACATACCCAAAGAGTAATATTGAATTATGACAAGAAGACAAAACGGCCAGTTCTCCCATGATATGGCACAGGTGCCCATATGTATCACCAACGGGAATCCTGCATTTTACCGGCGTTACCAAGTGTTTTTGTTAAATTAGACTGATGCCACGCTCGGATGAGCTTGTTGAAACATTATTATTTGCACATAAGTACCCATACGTATTTAACAAACAAACAATAAAGCATTCTGATGTCCATAACCAGAATATAATTAGAGTTTATCGCGTTTAATTCTGCCATCCACGTGACTACGGCGCTTATTTTACATCTGCTTAGGTCAGCAGATTACAAAACTTTTTTTTGGGCCATCTTCAAGTCGAGTAGAGAAAATCGCGACTCAGGTGCAGACAAGGCATCATACTGCCTCCATTGCGCAACAAAACGGCTGACATATCCAACTCGTGCGAAATTACATACTTAATACTCTCCTGCTGCAACCATGAGACAGCATTTTTCCCCCATTGTTAACTCGCTCACGAGTGTGTTCAGACTTTCAACTCGACCTTCAACATTTCAGCAACCCGGCCTACTAAGCCAAACATGCAAGGACACACTGGCTCCAGGCTCAATTATATCATCCGTCAATGCTCTCAGGCCATTCTCTTCTAGCTCAACATTACAAGCTAGGAAAGCTCCTGTAAAAATCGACAGACGAGTTAGTACGTATATGTCATCATCATCTGCCAGACCGTTCTAACATTTATTCAAATATTAATCACGTTTTCTCTCATAGCTTTAATACGTTATTTCCTCAATCATCCACTCACACCGCGGCCCCTCCATTTCTCACGCAACCGATACTTGCGTCACTGGACAATTCATCGAGCCTGGCAGTTATACACTGCTAAACAACGGAGAGCACAGCAATTGGAGCTCGAACGTCAATGGGCTAGCATGAAAGATGCCTGCGAGGAACTCCGCACCGGTGTTGGTGATGGTGGAAGATTGTTCCGCACTTCGATGAACAAGAAGGGCGTGTTTTCAGACGGTGTCCCAATTGAATATGGACGGCTACAGACAGACAGCCCGAGCAAGGATGGGTGGGATTATTCTTGGAAGCCTTGATAATTGATGGGATTCCAGGGTTGGCCATATATTCTTTTCATTTTTGTCGTAGCCTTTGGGCTTAATTGATCCCATGAGCCTACCAAGATAGGTGATTTAGGGATCGAATGGATGTATATTAGATATCGACGATAAGGCAAATAGGTTTGTATCACCAATTGGTTCGATGAGTAGAATTTAGCAGCCTTTTTTTTTTTTTTTTTATCTTCATTTTTCTCCCCTATGTCATGAACATCTTTTTATCCTACGGTTGCTCCGCATATGGGCTTGGGACGACACAGCTCAGTTTCCCAGGAAGCTGCGCTGCAATTTTCAAAACTAGAACGAGACAAGCTGTATTTAAAAGTGACCATTAAGTGATAAAGTACTTGAACGAGAAAGGGAGCTAAGCTAAGCTCAAAAGGACACAAGTGAGAGAAAAAGGAAAGCCAGACCTAAGTATATAAAATCAAAAAGAAACACCCCAGAGTTAACACCACATGATGCAAGCAGGATAAATTAATTCCATGATAACACAAGTCATAGAACCGGGAGAAAGGCTCCTGTGCCTCCGTCCTTATTCCAGCCACCCATTTTTGAAAGAAAGTCATGTTGATAATCGTTTTGGTAGTCGAGGAGGGTAAATGAACAGTTGTCGGATACGGGTTCTATTGAGCCCTATTGAATGTCATGGTTATGATAGCTAGCAGTCAGGTGGACTGTAGCTGTTTCGAGGTCGTATGCCGAAAAAAGAAGAAGAAGAAAAAGAAGGGACTGTGATGTGTGGGCAATACGGCTGCTGTAAGCGGGTATTTTATAAGATTACACAGCATGGGCCTCTGGTCTTTCCGAACGTCAAAAGTGCGGCGCGTGTGGCAGCTTCGAACACGTCATCTACACCCTCACCAGTGAGAGAAGAACATTCAAGGTATTTTCTAGCTCCAATCTCAGCGGCGGCCTCACTGCCGTCTCTTGGAGAAACGAAGCGTTGTGACTTTTTTCTCATTTCCTCAATAGCAAGAGGATCTTCACGGAGATCCTTCTTCAGTCCGACAAGTATGATAGGGACGTCTGGGCAACGCTCATTTGCCTCCTCAATCCACTAGTTCTCTCTTTGTTAGAAAGGAATATAATCTCATGGCGGTAGTGATGCAAGGGAGGGCGAACCTTGTGCTTGACGTTCTCCAGAGAATCAGGGGTATCGACTGAGAATGCGATTAGGAGGACATGTGCCTTTGAGTATGCTAATGGGCGCAGTCGTTCGTAGTCTTCCTGTCCTGCGGTATCCCACAGAGCAAGCTGTACTGACCGACCGTCCACCCGGCAGTCTGTAACGTAGTTCTCGAACACCGTAGGCACCTTTTGTTGACAGGAATGTAAGAACGCTGCTAGGAGGTACTGTTTTGGTCCAAGCTTTACTTACGTAGTGCTATATGCAGAAGAGATAAAAAATTAGTTTATCTGTAATTAAACAGGAGTCAGATCAACGTGAGATTGCACTTACTGTAGGGAAGTAACCCAGTGTGAATACGCTGAGAAGACTCGTCTTCCCACACGCACCATCCCCTATTATTACCAGCTTCCTATTATTACCCCGTCAGCATATCGGCTCGAAGATAAAAAAAACCCTTTCCCCAAGATCGCGATGGCCCTTCCAAGGATGAAAAACGGGTTCCTGACTGCGATGCAGTCATCCATCGGGATCTT